CCTCCAGGCGGTCACAAAGCACCGAGCTGATCTCCCTGTGCTATGCGGCTGCTTCCCACTAGCTATCTACCTTACGTTTGGTAGTGTATATATGTCCATGCCTCATTCTCGCTTTGTCACAGTTTACCCTTCCCCCTCCCCATAGCCTCAAGTCCATTCTCTAGTAAGTCTGTGTCTTTATTCCTGTTTCACCCCTAGGCTTTTCATGACATTTTCTTTTCTTAAATTCCATATATATGTGTTAGCATATGGTATTTGTCTCTCTCTTTCTGACTTACTTCACTCTGTATGACAGGCTCTAGGTCTATCCACCTCATTACAAATAGCTCAATTTCGTTTCTTTTTACGGCTGAGAGCTTTAACTATCTTAGCTCATTTAATCTCATATCATAAATCTGCCTTCCCATCTTTCTTACTGGAACCTTCTGCAACCAGTTCGTAAAAAGTACCTACATTGACATGGACATCAAGCTTTTCTATTTAGTAAAGTAATTTATGATCAGGCTTTCTCAGAATGTTTTTAAACTCTGCAATATTTTGCCCATCTTCTAGGATTAGAATCTGATACAGTAATAAAGACATTTGCCTTATTATTCCAGCAAATGGAATACATTTGCTGGAATACATCCCAGCAAATGTACAGATATAATCAAAACTCACCTTTGAAAACAAGTCTACCAAGTCATGCTTCTCTTCTAAAAATATAGTTATTCTCTCAGTGAGTAACTAGTTTTTAAGTCAACTACGCTGTGAGAGGATATAAATTACGAGGTTTCCTGGGGCTCTGAAGTTATGAAACTCATTCTGCCTGCTTACTTTGAAAGAGCTATTTTCTTTGAGTCAGAAATTTACTTATACAGACTATTTTACCATAATATTGGACCTCTAGAACAGGAAATATTTTACTTTTATTCCACTTACATGTATTTCTTTCTAGAGTTCACTGCTCAACATTTAATGAAGAACTGTTAATTGTAGGGGTAACGATTGTGTTTTTCCTCTCAGATATATCACTTAATGAATTTAATTAAGAATGTTATGGAGGTCTGCTTCTTAGGAGGACATTTACAACTTATTATGGGCTTTAACAAATTAAGAATTTGTTCCATAAAGTCAGGTTATTACAGAAACATCAAATTAAATTTTGGATGGGTTTATCACTTAATCATTCAGGGTGAGTTTCATGATGCTTAATTTCTCCTGAGTTTAATTATGAACTTCTAATGCATTTATAATTACCATGAATCTTAACTTGGCACTTGTACATATACTGATTTCTTAAAATTCATCACCTCAAGACTGTAGCAGACATTTCCGTAAATATCCCTGCTTCCTTTTGTTGCTGTTTATGTCTCACCTGCTCCCTACGTAACTATACTATTATTGGTTAGGTTCTACATTCATTATTTCACTTAATCACCGTGCAATACCACTTATAGGATTAAGTGTCGTTATCTGCATTTTATAGATGGAAAATAAAAAGGAAGGCAAGTGAGATTAGAGAACTTGCCCAAGTTCAAACAACAGAAGTGGTAGAATGAGGATTTGAACTCATGCCTTTCTGATTCCAGAGCTCACACTTCTTCATCTCAGCTCCGATGAAAGCCTCTTTAAGTAGGGCAACTGCGTGATCCACCTTTGTATCACAACCCACGCGTACTGCAACCAGCAAGTAGTGGAGCTGAATACTGTCTGATTGGATCAATGAAGGAATAAGAAAATGCTTGCAAGATAAAGTTATGTGGGAATATATAATACAGAAATTCTCAAAACACACCTGGGATATACAAAGAAGGAGTACCACCCCAATTTTGCAGGTGAGGAAACCAAGCCTCAAAAGCCAACACAGCTAAGAACAACTAGTAACTGGTAGGTTTGAGAGTCACACCAGGTCTTTTATCCCCAGAATCAGGTCTGTCTGCCCTGCATCCCATTGTCCTGCATTGCAGAGAGAGAGATCAGAAAGCCTGGCTCGGAGAGGCCATGCAGCAGAGTGGTGATGAGGATGGACTTTGGTGTCAGCACAAACTCTGATCAAGACCCCAAACCCTACTTATGAGTGATGGGATCTAGAGCAATAAGCCTTAAGAGTCCTCATCTGTGAAGCGAGAAAGACAGAAGCTCCCACCTTACAGGACTGTTTGGAGCATCATATGAGATAATACAGTAGCTTCCAAGCTCAGAGTAAGGGACTCAATATACGTCACCCAATATCTTATATACTCTTTTTGCTGCAAAACAGAGCCTCGCAAAATTGGAAGCTCGGGTCACTAGTGGCACGCAGGTTGGATGTTGATGGTACAAAGACAAGCGTTAGTAACACTGAATCACAACTGCAAGAGCTTAGTCCCCTTTTAATGATCTTTTCATTCATATAATCAGACTGTTACCCTTCACTTTTAACACGATCACTTGTTGGTCTCTTTTTTTAACAAAGATCAAGCTATACCTGAAAGTATTAACAGGTAATAGTAACAGGAGGGAATTTAGTTTAAATGTTATGTTTTTATCCCTTTCATGTTCATATTTACTTTATTTGCATATTAAGAATACTTTGTTTTCCATTTTATAATAGTGATAGTATTTTCCCTTTAAATCAATTTATTGAGTTTGGAAAAGTGCCAAACTAGCAAAAGACAGCAAACCACACAAAAGTCCATCAGTAGGAGACGAGTTGAATAAACTCTACACGTCCATACAGAGTATACCAGGCGGCTGTAAAAGAATGAAGAATATCCCTATATACTCACATAAAGCTACTACCCCCAGGGTGTACGAGGTGAAGAAAAGTGCGTATGGTAGGCTATCACTTTCTAAGAAATAGAGGATATATACGTCTCCACTCTCAATGAATAGATATACTTTACATATTTATATATACGCGTGTATATATTTGAAAAATATGTATATTTGCCTACATTAAAAATAAAAATATAAACCAGAAACTGAAAACATATTGTCTAAAGGGGAAGGAGACATGAGGATGAAAGAATTAGGATGACGGCTAGACATATCTGAATATATTTTAAAGATTGGACTTCGGAAATATGTAAATGTTTTATGTAGTTCTAAAACAGAATTAGTGAATTCTGCTTCCAAGAAAATAGAGTAAACCTGCTTTTCCCTACCCTCCTGCTAACTGCAGCTGAAAACCCCAGACAGTATATGTAAAACAAACATACAAAGACTCTGAAAGACAGAGAGAGGCAGACAGACTAGAAAGAGACCTCAGAACCTTAGAAATGACCTGGTGAGTTTTCTTTTTTGCCTCAAATGCCCTGAATGAATACTGGAAAAGCTGGTTACTTGGAAATGCCAATGGACACAGACAAAAAAAAAAAAATCCCCCGGGCTTCCCTGGTGGCGCAGTGGTTAAGAGTCCGCCTGCCGATGCAGGGGACACGGGTTCGTGCCCCGGTCCAAGAAGATCCCACACGCCACGGAGCGGCTGGGCCCGTGAGCCATGGCCGCTGAGCCTGCGCGTCCGGAGCCTGTGCTCCGCAAGGGGAGAGGCCACAACAGTAAGAGGCCCGCGAACCGCAAAAAAAAAAAAAAAAAAAAAAAAAAAAAATTCCCAAGAGAAACCTGCTCTCTCAACTCAGAGGGCCAGGAAAGGGGCAGCCTAACAAGAAAGAGAATGTTTGGACAGTAACCAGCCTACTCCAGCCAAACACCACAGACAGCTACAGACATACATGTCTCCCACACCCCAGGCCAAGGTTGAGTGGAGACAAAGTGCCCCGTGTCCCCCCTCCTCCAGGTGGTGTTAGAGAAGCACAGGTGGGGAGCCTGGACTTCAAGCCACACCAGTGAGAACGAGGTTCCCCACCCTCTCCAGGCAGGGCAATGTCAGAGGACACAAGGTCAATATACAGAAAGCAACTGTACTTCTATACACCATCAGTGACCATATGGAAGCTGAAATTAAAAGCACAATACCATTCATAATAGCTCAAGAAAAATGAAATCTAATAAAACACGAACAGGAATTTTATGCTGAAAACTAATGAAAGAGAACATCTAAATAAATGGAAAGACCTACCAGATTGATTAACTGAAGGACTCAACAAAGTAAAGATGTCGATTTTCCCCAAATTGATATCCTGGTTTAACATCCTTTCTTTCAGAATGCCAGCAAGATTTTTATGGAGACGTAGACAAATTTATATGGAAAGGCAACTGAACTAGAATCGTTCAAACAATTCTGAAAATTGGAAAACAAAGTGGGAGGAATCACTCTCCTTGATTTCACTTGATTTCAAGACTTGTATAGCCACGGAAATTAAACAGTGTAGTTCTGGCTGGGGGGAGACACAAAGATCAACGGAATAGAAAAGAAAACCCAGAGAGAAAGCCACACAAATACAACCAACTAATTTTTGACAAAGATGTAAAAGCAATTCAATGGAAGAAGATAGTCTTTTCAACCAACAGAGCTAGAGCAACTAGATACTCACAGACCAAAAAAAAAGAAAAAGAAAAGAACTCCAAACTACACTTCACACTTTACACAAAAATTAACTCAAAATTGATCATAAATTTAAATGTATATAAAACTATAAAAATTTTAGAAGATAGTATAGGAGAAAATCTTCAGGACCTAGATCTTTGTTAAGAGTTTTTTAGACATAACACCAGAAGCATGATCCCTAAAACAAAGCTTGGTAAATTGGACTTGAAAAACATTTGTTCTATGAAATATTCTGTTATGACATGGAAAGACAAGCTAGATACTGGGAAAAAATATTTGAAAACCATGTAGCTGACCAAGGACTCATATCTAGAACCCTCAAACCTCAACAGTAAAGCTACAATCCAATTAGAAAATGGGCAAATGACATCTCACCAAAGATGGTATACAAATGGCAAATAGGCACATAAAAGGATGTTCAAGATCACTAGCCCTTAGGGAAATGAAAATTAAGACCACAGTGAACCACCACTACACACTTACTAGAACAGTTAAATAAAAAGCGGTGACAGTACCAAATGCTGGAGGATGCGGAGAAACTGGATTTCTCACAAATTGCTGGTGGCAATGTAAGTGGTACAGACATTCTGGAAAACAACTTTGCTTTCTTAAAAAACTAAAAATACGCTTACCAGACAACCTGTCAGTTGCACTCCTGGTTATCTATCCCAGAGAAACGGAAACTTAGGTCCACACACACCTGTACATAATTGTTTATAGCAGCTTTATTAGTAGTGACCAAAACCTGAAAATAACCAAAATGTCCCTCCGTAAATGGATGGTTAAACAAACTGAGGAATATCCATACCATGGAATAAAAAGAAATCAACTATTGATATACCCAATTTGGATGTATTTCAAGAACATTATGTTGCTAAAGAAAAAAGGCTAATCCGAAAGGTCATAAGAGGTATAATTAACTTCATTTGTACAACATTCTCAAAATAAAAACTTCCTAGAGGTAGAAAGCAGATTGGTGGTTGCCGGGAGAGTGGGAGGGGGAGGGGGAGGGGTGTAATTATAAAGGAGTAGGGTGAGGGAGGTCTTTATGGATGGGCTAGTTCTATATCTTGATTGTGGTGATGGTTACACAAATCTACCCATGAGACAGAATAACATAAACCTATATGCATACTTTTTACCAGTGTCATATTCTCGGCTTTGATATTGTACTATGATTATGTAAGATGAAACCACTGGAGGAAGCTGGGTAATGGGTATATGCAACTTCCTTATACTATATTTGTAAATTCCTGTGAATCTATAATTATGTCGAAATAAAAAGATTTTTTTAATTAAAGGGGAAAAGAGAGTTCCTAAAAACTTAAAACAAAATGAAATAAATGAACCTAGTTGTGTAGCAAGTAAGTGGCATAATCACACAGGGAGATTTTATTTCAAGGGACTTTACAATCATTATCCTTAGGATACATCCTAAAGGAAAAAGATTAGCCAAACAAAATCTTCAACTGTTTCCGATAATCATATGGTTGGTGATAAAGTTATTCTTTTTCTGAGACAGTGCTGTGTGTATTGTGAGAAAAAGCGAATGTGCTATTCCATTAATGTCATTGGGAATTGACATTTTTGGTGTAGGTGAAGAGAAACAGACACTGAAGATCAATGAGGTTGAATAAAAATGTGTAGTTCTGGGCTTCCCTGGTGGCGCAGTGGTTGAGAGTCCACCTGCCAATGCAGGGGACACGAGTTTGTGCCCCGGTCCGGGAAGATCCCACATGCCGCGGAGTGGCTGGGCCCGTGAGCCATGGCCGCTGAGCCTGCGCGTCCGGAGCCTGTGCTCTGCAACGGGAGAGGCCGCGACAGTGAGAGGCCCGCGCACCGCAAAAAAAAAAAAAAAAAAAAAAGTGTAGCTCTAAATTTGAGTTGGAAATATCAGTATAAACTCACGAAAAATTTTATTGATATTATAGCCAATAAAGGCATAGAAACAATGAACAAGTCGGTAGCAACGATCACCTCTAGAATGTGCTTTCTAAATACCATTTCCCACACTAAGGAACAAAAGCTCCTTATATAAGTGGAGCACAGTAATACGTGTGGTAAATATATATATTTATATCCATGATAAATCTAAATATATGTGGTAAAGCTGGAATAGCTTCCCACCAGAAGGCAAGGAAGCTATGAAGGATGACTGGGGTCATGACAAAAGGACTCAGAAGTGGCTCTAATTGGTCAAAGATGAGGCAATCTGAGCCTTCATGAGGATGATGGTGATTTCGATGGATGGAAACACATCAAAATCTTTAGATCCATGAATTGATAATGATACTAACAAAAATTTATTCTTCTACTGGATCAAAGCACATCACCTAGGAAGGACTCCTGCTCTGGGGTGTGTGTCAGAGTGTGTTGGGGTCGGCGGGGAGATAAATTAGTAATTATGGGTACAGGAGACTAAAAATCATCTTTACTTGGGGATGCAATCAGCAAAATTCAGACTGAGGGAATCTCTACAGCATAAATGATGAAGTGCTTGCAATATATAAATTGTAAGGAAAAAGAAAGGAAGGGGGGACCTACAGAATAAAGAAATGTATGCGTCACATCAACCAGTTACGATGTATAGACTTATCTGGATTCGGATTCAAACAGTCTATAGAAACTATTATGAATATTTGAACTGTGATTGACTATTTGATAAAATAGAATATAAGAAATTACTGTTAATTGTTATGTGTGGTAATGAGATTATGAGTATGAATTTTTGAAGAGCCCTCTTCTTTTGGAGATATACCCTGAATTATTGTGGATGAAATGATATGATGGCTAGGATTTATTTCAGAAGCACACAGGGGAAGGAGGGGTATGAGGGTAGAAGTGGATGAGGCTATGAAAGAAACGGGATTGACCACACGTTGCTGGTTGTTGAAGCTCATTTCCATATACATAAGGGTTCATTATGCTATTTTTTTCTTTTATATATATATGTATATTTAATTTTCTATGATGAAAAAATTTAAAACAATCTGGGTCCATTTTTAAGCTATTTGTTAATGATAGTACACGTGGTATCCAGTTATAGCCAAAATCATGAAGGGGCTTCAACACAGCAGGCTTGGGAAACTGCGGTAGACAAAGTCACATTGTCACCCTGATTTACTGGGCACCATGTAAGCACTAAGGCAGTCCGGAGAAGGAATGGTTCTCCCAGCCCTGACTTGTGTTTATACAGAAATCTTCTCCCCGAGAGCTCGTCTCATTAATGCTCACCACACTTCCACCAGGCAGGCGGGCAATCTCACCTTCTTCCACAATGACACATAAAGTTCCGGGTTCCCTCGAGTTGCGGCTGTAAACCGCAGCCGGTGGCTGCGTGCTCCGAACTCCTCATGAACCTGTGGACCATGGAACCTGGTGACTGATGAGACTGCCAGGCGTCTCGGCCCCAGTGTGAGGTTCAGGAAATGATGACAGTGACCCAGCAGGACCACTGTGCCCACGTAGGAAAAAAGAGCAAGTGTGACAATATGCATTATCTGGACACCTTCTGGAACTCAGGCCATGGCCCCGGGGGTTTAGCTCAGCTTGAGTGGACGGAGCTAACAAAGTGCTCCTAGTCCCAAGCATTCCTTCCCAGGTCAACCTACCCCCTGCCCCACCTCCATCACCTATTTTTCAAGCCCACGGAAGTTACCCTACCTTTGCACAACCGTCAGTGTTCCCGAAGACGCATCCACTCCTCCTGGAGCCCAGGTTTTCTCCAGATGCAGGCAAACTTACTGCAGGACACCTTGTTGATAAACCTTGGAGACTGTCGAGGATACATTTTGCTAATTTAACAAGTTATAGACACCTGACTCATGTAAGCACTTCGTAGCTGTAAAGTACTGTGCCTTAGTCAGTCCAGGCTGACGTAACAAAATACCATAGACTTGGTGACTTAAACAACAGACCTTTAGTTTACTCCTCACAATTCTGGAAACTGGGAAGTCCAGGGTCAAGGTACCAGCAGACCTGCTGTCTGATGGGGACCTGCCTCCCGGCTTGCAGACAGCCACCTCTGGCTGTGTCCTCACGTACGGTCAGGCCCCCCAAGATGGCTGTTCTCTTGCCCTCTGTCCATTCCCTGCTGGACCAGTGCCTGCTTCACCTACACCCCACTCACATGACTGACCTTCTACATACTTGCTTCCGGCCCAGCTAGTGACTGTTCTACTCTTTAGATCAGAACATCTCCACCATGATAGCTTATCAAAGGGGCGGTGAGGGGCATGCCCCCCTGCTAGTTTCCCTGGTAACCGATGGGCTAACCTGAGGTTAATTCCCCCTATAACTGGTAACCTTCCCCTTCCCCCAGGAGCTAAGTATGCCACCAAGTGCTGCCGGCCGTCCGCCGCACACGATGGGGTGTCGCTCCAGGACCTTGTTTCAGACACGTAAGGTGCCCCACCCATTAAACCACTGATGCCTCTGTCACTGACTCTGGGCTCTTCCTTTGGTCTTGGGGCTGGACAAGTACAGGGCTTGCAGGCCTGCAGGGTGCAGCCCGACACCTCACATGGCCCAGAGAGAGAGAAAGGGCTCACCCCTGTCCTTTTCTTGTAAGGATGCTAATCCCATTTGGGGGGCTCCATTCTCACGACCTGTCACCCTCCTCCAAACACCATCACATTGGGGTTTCAACATATGAATTTGGGGGAACACAAACATTCTGTCCACAGCAACTTGTCTCGTCGAATAAGTTATAGCAAATACTATTATTACTGTAATTATGATATATGCACACATAGAGGAATATATTGATATTAGACATTATTTAATTCTTAAAAATGTAAACCAGAAGCTTGTCATCTCTCCTACTATTTAGAAGAGTCTAAACCTCCACCTTACATAGAGTTATTTGTTTTTCACGTCATTGATTAAGCAGGTACTCTATGCAAGAGGGAACAGCAGTGCATAGACCTACAAAGCCCTGCCCGCCTACAGCATGTATTCTGGTGATAAGAATACAGACAATTAAGCAGATGCAAACTAGTATATATAGAATGGATAAACAACAAGGTCCTACTGTATAGCACAGGGGATGATATTCAATGTCCTCTAATAAGCCATAATGGAAAAGAATATGAAAAAGAATATATATATATGTATAACTGAATCACTTTGCTGTCCAGCAGAAACTAACACAACATTGTAAATCAACTATTCTTCAACAAAATAAATTTTTAAAAAAAAGAATACAGGCAATCATGTAAAACTCTGTACTGGCAAAATAACAGTTATGCAGCCTAACGACTAAGACCCTTAGTTTACAAACTAAAGTGTGTGGGAAACATTACACAAATTCATTTTCCAATAAATGCATTTAATTTCTATTTTGACCCCCATCCCTACAAAATAGGCAAAAGAAACAAACCTCAGTCACGCGGGGGATTTTCTCTCATCCTTCTGCCGGCTCGAGTCAGGGGGTGATGAGGTGTCAGCCCACCTCAGGGGGGCCTCACCAATTCATTCGTCCATGTAAGTCCCCATCGGCACACTCCATGTCCTGTTTCTTTGCACTGACTTGATTTTTTAAATACTGCATTAAAATAGGATTTATCTTGATGACAGCATTTGGGGTGGGGGGTGTCTCCTTAGGTTTTGCTCTCAAGGTAAGTGCCTCACTCACCCCCCTGGTCCTAAGCAGACAAGCCAACATCTGAAGCCCCTCTGGCCTTGGGGTTGCTTCTTCCCAAGGCTCACCCAAGCCTCGCGTCGGGGAGCTTGGACTCAGGGAGATTTCTGAGGGTTGTTACTTATTTCTACAGATTTCCTTTCCTTCCAACGGAGCAGAGTATTATTTTATTTTTCTCAAAGATGGGACAGGGACTTACAAAATCACTCCTCCTGAGAGAGTGTTTTCTGACTTTGGGTTTACTTGATTAGGCACCTGGAGGCAGACTGTCCAGATTCGTGGAAGATCATCGGTGCCCGGGGGCCCTGCTCCCATGTCCAGGGCAACGTTCCTACTTTTCTGGCCGATGGAAATTAAGTCCAGGAAGTAACTCAGAGCCAAAAATCAGTCAGTTGTGAATGACAACTTATTTTTAATCGTGTTAAACTGCTAACTCCCCAATTAACTTCTCCATCCAGAAAGTGCTTTTCTCCCGATGAAGCTCAGCTTCCCGACAGCAGTAAAAATGTTAGAGCCCATCAGCTCCACTGGCTGACATTCAGAGTCAGCGGTACTTGAAGTTACATTTTAAAAGGCTCATGGGGAAAAAAAATCATTCAAAAAGCATTTAGCTCTTCAAACGTGTTCAAGCCCAAGGGTTCACTGCATTCTAATTACTCTGGTAACTGCTTTGCAAATAAAAACTTACAAGCAGAAAATAAACAGGGGAAGAGAATGGCCAATAGCTTCCGTCAAAAAAGATGAAGGTAAAGAAATTATATGTTTAGAGTAAGGTGTTTTAAAATACTGTATACCTCAAAGGAAAAATGGTCTTGAAGCAAGCTCTTTCTTAAGTGAAATATCTTTTTTCCCCCTAAGAAACTTAGAAAGAGCCTTTGTAAAACCAGAAATCCCTCTCTGAGGGATACACATATCCATGGCAACAACAGTGTGTGACAATAAAATTAGCTTCAGAAACAGAAGAAATAGAAGATATTCAAGTACAGAGAGATTAGGTGATGATTCAGGACACAGTGATCTCTACGTATATTTTAAAAATTATCCCTTGCCAGAAAGGATTTGAGATGACTTAAAAGGAAGCATAAAATCTAACCAGATAACTCCCTCTTGTGAGAGCACCGCAATCATAACCAAGTGCTAAACAATCATGGACAGGAAGACACTGGAACTCACCAAAAAAATACCCCACATCCAGGATAAAGGAGAAGCCGCAAGGAGACGGCAGGAGGGGCGCAATCACAGTAAAATCAAATCCCATAACCGCTGGGTGGTGACTCACAAACCAGAGAACACTTACACCACAGAAGTCCACCCACTGGAGGGAAGGTTCAGAGCCCCACGTCAGGCTTCCCAACCTGGGGGTTCGGCAACGGGAGGAGGAATTCCCGGAGAATCAGACTTTGAAGGCTAGCGGGATTTGATTGCAGGACTCTGACAGGACCGGGGGAAACAGAGACTCCACTCTTGGAGGGCACACACAAAGTAGTGTGCACATCAGGACCCAGGGGAAGGAGCAGTGACCCCGGGGGAGACTGAACCAGACCTACCTGCTAGTGTTGGAGGGTCTCCTGCAGAGGCAGGGGGTGGCTGTGGCTCACCGTGGGGACAAGGACACTGGCAGCAGAACTTCTGGGAAGTACCCCTTGGCGTGAGCCCTCCCAGAGTCCACCATTAACCCCAATGAAGAGCCTCTAGGCTCCAGTGGTGGGTCGCCTCAGGCCAAAAAACCACCAGGGAGGGAACCCAGCCCCACCCTTCAGCTGACAAGCAGATTAAAGTTTTACTCAGCTCTGCTCACCAGAGCAACACCCAGCTCTACCCACCACCAGTCCCTCCCATCAGGAAGCTTGCATAAGCCTCTTAGATAGCCTCATCCACCAGAGGGCAGACAGCAGAAGCAAGAACTACAATCCTGCAGCCTGTGGAATGAAAACCACATTCACAGAAAGACAGACAAAATGAAAAGGCAGAGGACTTTGTACCAGATGAAGGAACAAGATAAAACCCCAGAAAACAGCTAAATGAAGTGAGGATAGGTGACCTTCCAGAAAAAGAATTCAGAATAATGATAGTGAAAATGATCCAGGACCTTGGAAAAAGAATGGAGGCAAAGATCAAGAAGATGCAAGAAATGTTTAACAAAGACCTAGAAGAACTGAAGAACAAACACCTAGAAGAATTAAAGAACAAAGAAACAGAGATGAACAATACAATAGCTGAAATGAAAAATACACTAGAAGGAATCAAAAGCAGAATAACTGAGGCAGAAGAATGGATAAGTGACCTGGAAGACAGAATGGTGGAATTCATTGCCACAGAACACAATAAAGAAAAAGCAATGAAAAGAAATGAAGACAGCCTAAGAGACCTCTGGGACAACACTAAACGCACCAACATTCACTTTATAGGGGTCCCAGAGGGAGGAAAGAGAGAGAAAGGACCAGAGAAAGTATTTGAAGAGATTATAGCTGAAAAGTTCCCTAACATGGGAAAGGAAATAGCCACCCAAGTCCAGGAAACTCAGAGAGTCCCAGGCAGGATAAACCCAAGGAGAAACACGCCGAGACACGTAGTAATCAAATTGACAAAAATTAAAGACAAAGAAAAATTATTAAAAGCAACAAGGGGGCTTCCCTGGTGGCATAGTGGTTGAGAGTCTGCCTGCCGATGCAGGGGACACACGTTCGTGCCCCGGTCTGGGAAGATCCCACATGCCGCGGAGCAGCTGGGCCCGTGAGCCATGGCCGCTGAGCCTGCGAGTCCGGAGCCTGTGCTCCGCAACGGGAAAGGCCACAACAGTGAGAGGCCCGCATACCAAAAATAAAATAAATAAATAAATATATAAATAAATAAAAGCAACAAGGGGAAAACAACAAATAACATACAAGGGAACTCCCATAAGGTTAACAGCTGATTCCTCAGCAGAAACTCTACAAGCCAGAAGGAAGTGGCACAATATATTTACAGTGATGAAAGGGAAGAAACTACAACTAAGATCACTCTACCCAGCAAGGATCTCATTCAGATTTGACAGAGAAATCAAAAGCTTTACAGACAAGCAAAAGCTAAGAGAATTCAGCACCACCAAACCAGCTCTACAACAAATGCTAAAGGAACTTCTCTAAGTGGGAAACACAAGAGAAGAAAAGGACCTACAAAGAAAAAAACAAAACAACTCAGAAAATGGTAATAGGAACATACATATCAATAAGTACCTTAAACGTGAATGGATTAAATGCTCCAACCAAAAGACACAGGCTCACTGAATGGATACAAAAACAAGACCCATATAAATGCTGTCTACAAGAGACCCACTTCAGACCTAGGGACACATACAGACTGAAAGTGAGGAGATGGAAAAAGATATTCCGTGCAAATGGAAATCAAAAGAAAGCTGGAGTAGCAATACTCATATCAGATAAAATAGACTTTAAAATAAAGAATGTTACAAGAGACAAGGAAGGATCAATCCAAGAAGAAGATATAACAATTAGAAATATATATACATCCAACATAGGAGCACCTCAATACATAAGGCAACTGCTAACAGCTATAAAAGAGGAAATAGACAGTAGCACAATAACAGTGGGGGACTTTAACACTTCACTTACACCAATGGACAGATCATCCACAGAAAATTAATAAGGAAGCACAAGCTTTAAATGACACAATAGACCAGATAGATTTAATTGATATTTATAGGACATTCCATCTGAACAGCAGATTACATTTTCTTCTCAAGTGTACACGGAACATTCTCCAGGATAGACCACATCTTGGGTCACAAATCAAGCCTCAGTAAATTTAAGAAAATTGAAATCATATCAAGCATCTTTACCGATCACAACACTATGAGATTAGAAACAAATTACACGGGAAAAGATCGTAAAAAACACAAAAACATGGAAGCTAAAAAATACATTGCTAAATAACCAAGAGATCACAGAAGAAATCAAAGAGGAAAAAAAAATACCTAGAGACAAATGACAATGAAAACACGATGATCCAAAATTTATGGGATGCAGCAAAAGCAGTTCTAAGAGGTAAGTTTATAGCAATACAAGCCTACCTCAAGAAACAAGAAAAATCTCAAATAAACAATCTAACTTTACACCTAAGGAACAAAAGAAAAAAGAACAAACAAAACCCAAAGTTAGTAGAAAGAAAGAAATCATAAAGATCACAGCAGAAATAAATGAAATAGAAACAAAGAAAACAATAGCAAAGATCAATAAAACTAAAAGCCGTTTCTTTGAGAAGATAAACGAAATTGATAAACATTTAGCCATGATGTTCTACTACAAGAGTTGCTTGTAGTAGTCTCTCAGGATGCTTTGTATTTCTGCGGTGTCCATTGTAACTTCTCCTTTTTCATGTTTATCATGTTTAAATAGCCAAAGCAGTCTTGAGGGAAAAAACGGAGCTGGAGGAATCAGACTCCCTGACTTCAGACTGTACTACAAAGCTACAGTAATCAAGACAATATGGTACTTGTACAAAAACAGAAATATAGATCAATGGAACAGGATAGAAAGCCCAGAAAGAAACCCACGCACATATGGTCAACTAATCTATAACAAAGGAGGCAAGGATATACAATGGAGAAAAGACAGTCTCTTCAATAAGTGGAGCTGGGAAAACTGGACAGGTACATGTAAAAGAATGAAAGGAGAGCACTCCCTCACACCATACACAAAAATAAACTCCAAATGGATTAAAGACCTAAATATAAGACCAGACACTATAAAACTCTTAGAGGAAAACATAGGCAGAACACTCTATGACATAAATCACAGCAAGATCCTTTTTGACCCACCTCCTAGAGAAATGGAAATAAAAAGAAAAATAAACAAATGGGACCTAATGAAACTTAAAAGCTTTTGCACAGCAAAGGAAACCATAAACAAGACCAAAAGACAACCCTCAGAATGGGAGAAAATATTTGCAAATGAAGCAACTGACAAAGGATTAATCTCCAAGATATATAAACAGATCATGCAGCTCAATATTAAAAAACAAACAACCCAATCCAAAAATGGGCAGAAGACCAAAACAGACATTTGTCCCAAGAAGACATACAGATGGCCAAGAAGCACATGAAAATCTGCTCAGCATCACTAATTATTAGAGAAATGCAAATCAAAACTACAGTGAGGTATCACCTCACACCGGTTAGAATGGGCATCATCAGAAAATCTACAAACAACAAATGCTGGAGAGGGTGTGGAGAAAAGGGGACCTCTCGCACTGTTGGTGGGAATGTAAATTGATACAGCCACTATGGAGAACAGTATGGAGCCTCCACAAAAAACTAAAAGTAGAATTACCATATGATCCAGCAATCCCACTATTGGGCACGTGCCCAGAGAAAACCATAATTCAAAGAGACACATGCACCCCAGTGTTCATTGCAGCTCTATTTACAATAGCCAGGTCATGGAAGCAACCTAAGTGTCCATCATCGGATGAATGGATAAAGAAGATGTGGCACATATATACAACGGAATATTACTCATAAAAGGGAATTAAATTGGGTCATTTGTAGAGATGTGGATGGACACAGAGACTGTCATACAGAGTGAAGGACGACCAGAGGCTTCTGCAAGGGCACACTGCCAGGGAGCCTCTCTATCCGTGGGTTAGATATAAGTTAATCCAAATGTGCTGGCAGAGTTGAGAACTGCTGATGAAGGGACGATTGCAAAGACTGCTTTTCCTTCCAAGGGGTAATCAAAAAACTTCAGCAACTGTTAATTCTGCAAATGCTTTGAGTTTACCAAGGTAGACTCTGGGATACTGAAGACTCAGAACAGTCTGAATGACTTTAAAACAAATCAATCCAAAAGGAAAACTCTCTAGGTTGTTCTCCAGTTATTAGAAATTTTAAAGGTTAATACAATGTTATCTGTTTACTTCACCAGTATGACAACTAAAGCAGAAATAATAAGACAGTCTTTCAGTGCAATACAACGACTCCAAGGTTATTCCTCTTTCGTGTTTTGCTCTGCATTTGGAGCAGCCTCCAAACATATATGTTGCAATTGCATTGTGATTGGTGTGTGCCTGGTGTACACCTGCACATCATAAATAATGGAAAAGGACAAACTGACTTCATAGATAACATAATTACCCACTTTAGGATCAATTAAAGCAGGAAAGATGTTAAATTTACCGTATGTTCCCATTAACTTGGTACACGGTCCCAAACAACTAAATGCCACTGTACAAAAAGATCCACTTGACCATAGGTTGCAATTCTAAGGTAATGGCCACTGATCACTAAGTCACATTCTCTTTATTGGATGATTAACCAGTGAAGTAGCACTCTATTATTATCCATTTGCCACCAGTTACGTACAGTATAAGGTGAGAGGCAATGTTGATATATTGCCGAATAAAAACATCTAAGAAAAAAAAATCTAACCAGAGAGTATAAATCAAAACCGGAGGCAAAAAGAGAAAGAAAAACAACGTTCCAGACATAAAATAGAGGCAGGAGAGAAGCTGAAATAGGCCCGCAGAGTAACTGATCATGAGTGCAATTATATCTCATGTGGACTAGTGGAAATGTTGAAACAGACTCTGAAAGTGAGATTTGGAAAGAGCCTAGGGAATTGCTGTTACTACATCCACACAGCACAGAATCGGAAGCCCAGGTTAAGGCACATAGAGGACCAACCGGGTAGGAGTTGATCTTCTTTCCTTCAAGCTTCATATCCTTGCTGCTTTTGCTGCTTCGACCTCAGACCTTGTCTCTCCTTTTTCATCCGGGTGAATCCCTGAGGGTAACCAATGAGGATGAGCAAGAGGATGGAGATTTAGAGGCAAAATACCGATAGGTATTGACAGAAGCTGGTTAACTTATTGTCCAGCGGTCACTGTGCTGGTTGTCGGTGTGACAGGGAAGGGAATACAAAACATAGAAAAGGATGTGAGTGGGAAAGTTAGTCACACCATCACCTTACTGCTGATTCCTAGCTCATCGAAAAAGCGAAATTTCTAAATCTTTAAGGATCTATCGGTGATTTTTAAATGCTGCTAAATTTTTCTTCTGTAACCCTAGTAAGAAAATTAAATACTTAATCGAAGCATTAAAACTTTATCATTACAACCCATATGTTCTTAGCACATTTGGCAAGAGACTTATGCTATATCTGGAAAAGGAATGCAGATGTTAACCATAATTTATACGAGCACCTGGCCGTATCACATGATCCCCATCTGAAGGAGAGGTGATGAAAATATATTTTTAAAGTTTCTTGAAACTAACACACCATTGTAAAGCAATTATACTCCAATAAAGATGTTAAAAAAAAAGAGATGATCAGAAAAAGTTTCTTACTCTATGCTTTTGATACATATTCCAAAAACGTGGGGGACCATTTTGGCTGTTTATAGAAGCTGCAACCACCCATGAAAAGCAGTCCCACTGTTGCCATAGTGATCATGAATGATGGAGCCATTCTGCCAGAAATCTCATTCACTTGAAAATTGAAGTCCCCAAGTGACAATAAGCTGAGGACACTAATATCAGATGGGATAACGTCTAAGACACAGTAAGGCACCCAAACAAGAAGCGAGAGACTCAATTCATTTTACCACAAGTTATAGGAAGGATGGATGGCAGACACACTCACAGGAACCCAGTGTTAGAGATCAGAGAGCTTCCACAGCCGAAAAGTACATCTGCTACCTTAAAATAAAAAAGAAGGAAAAAATATATATACACACTTCCAGGACAGTGATGAAAAGACAAAGACGTGCTGGCCAGACAACGGCGTTTATTTTCCATAGAACTGACCTGCTGAATCAAACGACTTTACCCCCAAAAGTGTAAATGATCTTTTTAATATGGTGAATTGTATATTGATATAAACGCATACTGACTCTCAATAAAGAAGTGGGTGTCACCATTCAGGTGGCCATCGTGAACCATGTGAATGGTGCTCCCAGGAGGTGGTCCTTTCTGCCCAGCACATCTCCTCCAAGACCTGAGTCTGGTTCCTCGCCGCCATGTTGCTCTCAGGTGACTCTCACTCTGGCTGACGGTGAGTGCCTGTGACTGACAGTGAGGATGTGAGACTCACCGAAGGGCAGAAGAGTAACACATGGCCTCAGGAGACTCTGGTGGCCACCTTCACTCAACAAGTCAGCTGAGAAGCAGAAGAGGTCCTTGTGCAGAGCGAGCATCCTGAGCAAAAGCAGAGAAAGGAGCAGACAGGAGATGGAGAAAGAGCCCCCCACATTCCCTGAGACCCAGCTGGATTCCTGCCCTTGGGTTCCATAAGTCATCCCCAGTGTTTATAGTTAATCCCCTGTTTCAACTACATTAGCTGACACTTGAAATAAAACAACCTTAAATAACCAACTCCATCCACAAGCAGCCAAGGGAACTTCTTCAGCCATTGTCAATGTCATCTTGGTATAAAGCCACCATCTCTTCCTCCTTCTTCCCTTGCCCTCGGGAAGTTCCATCAACGTTGATGTTTTCTGCTACCCGGTCACATTTCATGATGGTGCCGCCCAAGAGAATACATGACCCTTCCCTTGGACGTTAGGCTGAATGTCTGCTCTGAGCTTTATCTCTAGTCCTAGCTGCCCACATCCACTGCTGGTATTTCTCTGTAAAAATAATACTGTCAGCTTATTTTTGAGAAATGTGCCACACACTGTTCCCAATACTTTATAATTATTCATTGATTCATTCAATCAGTCCTCACAATAACCCTACTGGGGAGGTACTATAACACCGTCCCTTCACAGCTGGGGAAAGTGAGGAAGTGAGTGGTAAGCCATTTTCCCAAGGTCATAGCGCAAGTAAGTTGCGAGCAGATATCTGATTCCAGACGGTCCAGCTCCGGAGCCCAAGCCCACAGCCATCAGCCAACACAGCCTCCCTGGCAGATGCAAGTCCACGAGTACAATGAAAGGCAATCAGCGACAGCCCCCAGGAGATGCCATATCTTGAAGGCGTTCCTGGCTTTTGGAGGGGCAGCTTTGGGCATACATACACATAAATATACAAGCACACATGCACATGCACGTACGCATGGGTAAACACACACACACATGCGTACCTGGCTCACCTCGTGGCCAGAACTGAACTGGGCGATCACAGCAGCTTGAGGAGGCTGTTAAAGTTCTGGGTCTGGAGGGTGACACCATTGGGGACAAAGTGCACACAGACCTTGGTGTCGGGCTGGGGAGGGGACAGCAGACAGCAGCAGGCAGGGCACCCCCGTCACCTTCAGCTGAACCACTTTCCATTACACTGATGGACACGCTGGACCTTGGAGGATTAATAGGGCTATCAGGGTTTTTTCATTTTACGTTGCTTTTTATTTTTAATGGAGGACCAATCTTACCCCCGAAAAATCTCTTGCTTCCAGGTGGGAGTTGCCAGCATCAGAGCTTCCTGCACACGGAAGATGAAGGAGGCCCCCGTATGTAACCCCACTTGTGCATCTAACTACAACTCATGGGAGTGAGCCCGGCTTCAGAGGTGTCAGGTCTACCAAAACCGCAGCTTCATACAGAAAAAATGAGGTGTGCAACCAGAAATGTAAAGTGTGTAGGAGGGAAACTGAGCTCTTGACAGAGACGTGATACATTTTCTCCTTAGAATTGTTGGAAGTAAACAGCTCCCCGCCTGATCTAGCCCTGGTCTCTACCATTATAGAAGTAACCCCGATTTCTCTCTTAGGTTAAAGCTGTTGACAGGCTTTCATATGTTGGACAGTCTTGATATAGAACACAAGGTTTATCATCCACAAAATTACCCTTTCTCCTTGGCCCTAAATACAGAGACCTGAAGAAATGAAGTAAACCCGAGTTGTTACTTACCCTCAACTCTACTGTTCCTAATGGATAAACATTAAAGTGTTTAAGAGGCAACAAAGCAATATTGTGGAGAGAAATGTGGAGTTTGGTTTTGAGCCTAATATTTAAAATCTGTGTGGATTAGAAAGTAGTTTTACCAACCTGTGACTCAGTTTTCCCATGTGGAGTAAAAGGCTCGGATTGAGGGTCTCAGGGGTCTCCCAGCGCTGGAATTCGGAGATTGTCTCCCGAGATGTTAACGTGACCTTTCTTGTGAGAAGGAAAGTGTATGAGGTTGAGTTCCAGACCTGCCTGAGAATCCTCACTCTCCTGCTTCCCAGATTTGTTACCTGGAGCCCCTCAGCCTCAATGTCTTGCTCTATAAATTGGGGATAACAATTAAGCAATTTGTAGCTTGCTGTGAGGACAGGTGTGCAGGATGTAAATCTGTCCCAAGGCCAGGCCAATTGTCACACAGCAGAAGTGAAACAAAATAGTGTGAGAAGCAGTGAGTATTTGAAAATAGATGTTTTGCAGAGGAATGGAGGAATCAGAATGAACCCGAGGCTGGGTGAATGGTGATGACGGTGGTGGAGGTAGGGGAAGCAGCACAAAGTGAGAGCCAGCACCCTGACCTTGAACCTCACCGAGCTCCCCTCAACACTGTACAAATGTTCTTGATTATCTACAAAATCGAAGGACTGGAGAATTTGAATATCTCCTTCAGTTTAACTTAAAGATTTGGTAAAAATGAATAAACAAAATAAAAATAAAAGCTGGGACTTCCCTGGTGGGGCAGTGGTTAAGAATCCGCCTTCCAATGCAGGCGACACGGGTTCGAGCCCTGGTCTGGGAAGATCCCACATGCCGTGGAGCAACTAAGCCCATGCACCACAACTAATGAGCCTGCGCTCTAGAGCCCATGAGCCACAACTACTGAGCCCATGAGCCACAACTACTGAGCCCGTGTGCCTAGAGCCCGTCCTCTTCAACAAGAGAAGCCACCGCAATGAGAAGCCTGTGCATCGCAATGAAGAGTAGCCCCCACTCGCTGCAACCAGAGAAAAGCCCGCGTGCAGCAACAAAGACCCAACGCAGCCAGAAACAACAAATAAATAAAATAAAATTAATAAATTTATAAAAAATAAATTTTAAAAAAAGCTGCTCTAGAAAATCTGGAAACTTAAATGATGAGCCGCTGCTCTGTATCAGGATATTTTGTACACGGTTCTCTAGACCAAGGTTTCCCAGAGCGTGATCTACAGAATCATCTGGTGTGTTTGTTAAACATGCAAAATCCCAGGGAATTCCAGTGGGAATTTGAGTCCAGTGGTTAGGACTCGGGGCTTTCACTGCTGTGGCCCGGGTTCAATTCCTGACTGGGGAACTAAGATCCCACAAGCCGCGTGGCATGGCGAAAACAAACAAACGAACAAAACGTGCAGAATCCCGGGGGGCACCCAGATCTCAGGTTTCAGAATTTCAAGGGTGGGCACAGGAATGTGCATTCTGAATCCGCTTCCTCATTCTCGGGTGCGCTCCACTCTGGGACCCGTGGTCTAATGGCAGGACAAGATGAATAAGTCCCAAATGGCAATCAAGGATTTCCAATGGTCCTGGTTACCCTCGTTGCTTTCTGTCACCCTTTTGCAGAGGGATAATCGAGGATTTCCCCCAGAGTAACTTGCCTTGGCAGTCTCTGTCCAAGTGTACAAAATGCTTTCTGCCCTGAAGTTTCATCTGTGAGCTTGTCCAAGAGGATCTGAACGGTTTTGTAGACCTTCCTAGTTTTCCCTTTCTCCCAGATTAACAAATGTGGCCAATTGAGAATAAACAGTGAACTGAAAATCCAGAAATGCTACATCACAGGAAAAAACGATTTCAAAATTAAATAATAGAGACCTCTATGACTCTGCTGGCCTCCACGGATTGTGAGTGTGTTACAGATAACCATGCATGGAATTTTGGTCGGAAACCCAAAGAGACTCATAAATCAGAGCCCACGTTTCCATGTCTGCCGTCATGGCAGGAAGGAAATGTTGCCCAGTGGGCGGCCCAAGGAAGCACTGAAGTCTCCAGGCAGTGATGAGTAATCTCCGTCGGAGCAGAGGCGACAGCAGCCACGTTAATGGGCTGATCTACATTTATAAGCCTTCACCCTTTGCCTGTTCTCTCTCTGAACATCAGCTCCAGGAGATGTGCCCTGGAGAAGACGTGTAGCTATTGAGCTTTGCAGATGGGTGTGGGAAGGTCAAAGTATTTATGGCAGAAAAAAATAGCTCCTGGGACAAAGCCGACTCTGAAATCACATGTGGTCCTCTGGTGTTCTTTCCCTTTAGCCAGATGAAAAGACCCAGGATCTGCATAGAGGTGCAGCATCGCCGGGTTTCTTTGCCTAAGCCCCCGTTAATATTTTGTAGCCTTCACAATGTCACTGGAGACTTATTCAAAGGTATCTCTGAGGCAATTTCCCCTACTGAGTGAACGGGGAGGTCGTTCTGGAAGAACCACAGAAGACTGTCTGCCTCAATGTAAGGCAGGTTTAGACGATAAGGCACGGAAAACCAGACCAGATAATTTTCTAATCACTCACGGTAGATAAGCAGCCACAGGAGTAACTGATTATGCCAACCGTCCAGGTGCACCAACAGGTGTTGGCGTGTCTTCCTCGCTCAGGTTCACGTGCAGGCTCCCCCAGGTGCAGAAAGGACTTGGACTAGTCATCCTTCCTACCACATGTTACATCTCATCACTGTCATTCTCCCTCCCAGTTTTCAGATGAAAAACCTGCCCAGTCACCAAGCCATTTCAAGTTCATAACTCCCAAAACTCCACATAAACGCTTCTTAGAGAAGAATAAAACTCTGCCCAGTCACCAAGCCATTGCAAGTTCATAAATCCCAAAACTCCACATAAATGCTTCTTAGAGAAGAAAACTCTAATGTCTGATGACAAACATGTCATTAGGAATCATCGTGATCATTTTAAGCCTATCTTAAAGGCTTAAAAAGAAATCCTTGTTCGCTTACATACTATCAAACTTCATCCTAATTTTATAGAAGAAAAAAAATTGTGCTTTGGCCGCACCATGCAGCATGTGGGATCTTAGTTCCCTGACCAGGGACTGAACCCGTGCCCCCTGCACTGGAAGTGCAGAGTCTTAACCACTGGAACACCAGGGAAGTCCCAAAGAAAAAAAATTTTTTTTAATTAATTTTCAGGTGTAGAGAAGTAATTTCAAATCAACTCTCAATAATCCAAGTAATGGGCTTCAGGTAATGGCTTGGAATATACAAAATAGCAGATTTTTAAAAACCTATTTACCTTTGTATTTTATTAGGATTATTTTAAATCAGTGTGTATAACATGAAATATGATAAAACTAGTTAAAGTATATTTTAGATCCTTAGTGCCTATCAGCTAGTTAGTAGGATAACATGAATAAACAGAGAAGGAAAAAAATGTTTCTCAACTTTGGAGAAAACGACACTGAAATGTTCTTCATAGTGTTATCCAAAAATGAGCAGAGAGCTATTGCAGACCGTGGGGAGACTATTAAACAATTGTCCCACAGCTATTAGCAAATGCTCTGGCACCATTTCCAGAATTTTAGGAAAAGAAAAGATTTTATGAGGCATAGGAAAAGTAAATTCTTTGTAATTAAAAAACATTCTACTAATATACTTGGCTTGGATAGCCTAGGACATCACAGCTTTCAGGGCAACCGTGAGCAAGAGGCAGACCACGTACCATCCCCCCGGGGGTCCCCGAGTGGCCACTGTGGCTGAGAGCTCAGAGCTGGAAGGGCCCGGCCGAGACTCACACTGCAGCTCGGAGTCTGGGTCTGGGGCCAATGTGTTTGCATTGTCACGATGCCAAGGACGTTTTTCTTCTCAACCGAGACATTCCGGTAAGAACAGCAGAAGATGTGGGAAGGTTAAGGTGCTTCAGTGCCCACTGTTCCATGTCTGTGTCCTGATTGTGTTACTCTGTGCTCCTGTAATAAACATAAATCAAGTGACTAGCTTTCACCAACTCTGCAGTAATAAATGGCACGTCTCTAAGCCCTTAAACGTTGCCTGAAGTTGAGCACCTTTCTGAAAGCATTTCGGAGGGTGAAGGGAGGATTGTAAATTTTCTTACTTCAGTTTCCCAAATCAAGAGGAGCTGGCAATGCAGTGTTCTCCCCTCCAGGCTTTACGTGTGGCTGAACTTGTCCCACTTCGCTCTGCGGGAACCATCAGTTTCTGACTTCTTTCAATGCTGTTTCAGCCTTGAATGGCAAAAGACAAAACAAAGGACTCACCAAGCAGGAAATGTAAATTGCTGCAGCCACCGTGGAAAACAGTTTGGAGGTTCCTTAAAAAATAAAAATAAAGCTACCATATGACCCAGCAATCCCACTCCTGGGCATATATCCGGAAGAGGAAAGCTCTAATTTGAAAGGTGAATGGATAAAGATGCCGCACATACATACAATGGAATGTTAGCCATAAAAAAGAATGAAATCATGCCATTTGCAGCAACATGGATGGACCTAGAGATGATCATAGTAAGTGAAGTAAGTCAGACAAAGACAATTATATGACACCACTTATATGTGGAATCCAAAAATAGTACAAATGAACTTATTTACAAACAGAAACAGACACAGTCATAGAAAACAAACTTATGGTTACCGAAGGGGAAAGGGGGGGATAAATTGGGAATTGGGGATTAACAGATACACACTACTAGGTATAACATAAACAACAAGGATTTACTGTATAACTCAGGGAACAATATTCAATATCTTGTAATGACCTGTAATGGGAAATAATCTGAAAAAATATATATATTTAACTGAATCACTTTGCTGTACACCTGAAACTAACACAATATTGTAAATCAACTATACTCCAATTAAAAAAAAAAGACTCCACGGGCTTCCCTGGTGGCGCAGTGGTTGAGAGTCCGCCTGCCGATGCAGGGGACGCGGGTTCGTGACCCGGTCCGGGAGGATCCTGTGAGCCATGGCCACAGAGCCTGCGCGTCCGGAGCCTGTGCTCCGCAACGGGAGAGGCCACAGCGGTGGGGAGCCCGCGTACCGCCAAAAAAAAAAACAACAAAAAGACTGTTAAATAAATAAATAAAGCCTCCAAAAAAAAAAAAAAAGACTCACCAAGCAGATGAAACAAGTTCCCAAGACACCTGGCCAGTGCCCCCTCCCCTGCTTCGCCCCCATGGTGGTGACATACACACTTGTCACTCACCACAGGCCACAAGTACAACTTCTTCCTCAAGCTGGCCAACCCTGCACAGATGCGAGGAAGTGCAACTGCGTCCTTCCAGACCACAGGATCCTGGGCAGGAAGCGTCTCTGTGCAGAGGGAGCTGCACGGCCCCTGGGGTGTCATGGGAGGGCTGGCAGAGGTGTGTCCGAAATCAAGCTGGAAGGACACAGGGTGAGATTTTGCTCAAAGTGCCTGGATCGGGCTAGACCTCATCCATCCTCAAATACCACGCACTGCCGTCGAGTGGAGCTCGGACACTGCAAGGCACCCACGCGCCTCAGTGCCACAGCACAAATCCTGCTGGGCCCTTTCCAGCGGGAGGAAAGGGACCTGAGAGATGGTTTTATTACCTCTCGTGGGAAAGTAAGCGTGGGAGACGGCTGATGACCCCACCTGCACCGCGGAAGGCAGGATTCACCCTCTGTCCAAATACCATACTAGCTAACAACTGAAACTCAGCACTTTCGAGTAGCAGATGGCAGGACACGCCTTATAATGCGAATTCGCCCAGGTTCAAGCCCTCAGCCTCAGGTAGTCTCCTGTTCTGGAAGAACCGTTCTCAGCTCCTGAGAAAGGGTGCTGGCTTCACGTGTCACATCCAGATGTCTTCGTCAGCTTGCGGCTTCCCGATCCGGGGCCAGCCCTGTCTTTCGTCCTCATCCCTGCTCTCCATAAAACAGCCTTAAACAGCAAAGCTCTACTTCTGAGGATTTTGCAGGAAAAGTCTATTACAGCTGCTTTAAAAGGAGAAATGTCAGCTAATAGTGATTTAGAGAAGATTTTTTTTAGGGTTGTAGACTGTTTTGCACTCAGAGATGTTAGGGAAAGAAGGGCAGTGAGGCTGAGGGGCAGATCTGTAGGAAAGGATTCCTCCAAGCCCCTTGTTTATAAAACCCACACCCAACTAAAGCTGCCCCCGACGGGCTGCTTCAAGGCCCCTAGGTCCTTCAGGGCACATTCAGGGCACGCACACAGCAACAGCTTCTAAAAGTCAAGCATTTAAAGACCATCCATTCAAATTCTTTTCCCATTTAGGTTATTACAGAGTACTGATCAGAGTTCCCTGTGTTATCCAGTAGGTCCTTGTTGGTTATCTATTTTAAATAAAAAAGTTTTTTTAAAAGACCATCCATTCAAATTTTTCATTTTACTGATGGGGAAACTGAAGCCCAGAGAGGTAAGGGGACTTGTTCAAGGTCACAGAATCAATTAGAACAGACTACCGACGTGGTTTCACCTGTACCAGAGTTGTTGGAAGAACCTCCCATCTAATCTTTGCCAAATGGAGTTAATTCCAGTGGAGCTTCAGCCCAGCTAGATCTCTAGCAGGTACATGGTAGTGCCTGGGAGAAACAGAGAACTTGGCAGAGACTCTGGTCACACCCCGACCAGCCAAGGTCAGCCAAGTTCTCAGAAAGACAGAGAACAGAGCCCAGAAGATCGCACCTGCTTTTTTCTTTCTTTTTTTTTTTTTTCAGACACCCACTGTTTGACCTGCTGTCTTCCTGATACCTCTCTCCTTTTTAATTCCCCACAGCGGAGTCCTTGAGGCTGTCAGCTGGATCCCAGCATCTTTCCTGGACCACTCAGCACACAGGTGTGGGGGAAGGAGGTGATGGCATTTGGGACTCTGAGACACCCTCGTGTGTTGGGCAGCACCCTGACTGGGGGTCCAGAAAGGACTGACACCTGAAGCCCTGCAGTGGCCAGAGGAGAGGGGACAGTCACAACAGGAAGGGAACGGCCGGCTGGGGACAATCCCAGAGCACAGGGAGCTCAAGGAGGGTCCAGTAAACGTCCCCAGGGGTGTTGTGGGTGATAACGAGCAGAGTTTCTCACTCTATGGAGAAAAAGAGATGTGAAAAGAAATAGTAATCGACGTGAGGAAGGAACATGCACTAGAGTTGGAGCTGCAGCCCTTGTCTGTTACACTGGTTTTAAAACTGGTGCTGCAGTGGCTTTGAAACTACTACCCTGATTTTCTAAACCCTGAGGCTCTATAGAGGTTCCATGAAGATGGGGACTCAGAGAGGTGGGCGGCTGGGCTCTCAGCCCCACTATGCCCGCCCAGACCAGAGATCCTGCCCACGCTGGGCAGCTCAGCACTGAAGGCTTCAGAACCCAGGTCGCTTTAGCCAGTTCCCTGCTCAGCACTGCGAATTGAGACTCGCCCTCTCTCTGCCTCTGTCTGTCACACACACACACACACACACACACACCCCATTCCTTGGTGAGAAACAATAATATAACAGAATAAGTTCTATTTTCCTTGGTTGTATTTTTTTTAAACTATAACAATTTCTTGAGTACTTTCCATTTATTTTACTTATTTATTATTTATTTATTTTTGGCTGCATTGGGTCTTTGTTGCTGTGCACGGGCTTCTCCTTGCAGTGGCTTCTCTTGTTGTGGAGCACGGGCTCTAGGCACGCAGGCTCAGTAGTTGTGGCTCGTGGGCTCAGTAGTTGTGGCACGCGGGCTCTAGAGCGCAGGTGCAGTAGTTGTGGCGCATGGGCTTAGTTGCTCCGCCGCATGTGGGATCTTCCCAGACCAGGGCTCGAACCCGTGTCCCCTGCATTGGCAGGCGGATTCTTAATCCCTGCACCACCAGGAATGCTCCCTTGATCATATTTTTAAACATGCAGAGCAAAAGATAAAATTCGAGCACTTTCATCTCCAATAAGTGGCTTTATAAAGAGTCAAGATAAAGATGAAATGACAGAATGAATGAATCAGAAGTGAGCGGCCAAAGGAAACCTTATAGAAAGATGCAACCCCCAAAGCCAGGAGCCACGGTGATTAGTTTAGGTGGCTGCTTTGGGCTTCAATCCACAGAGCCACAAGAAAGGACACGGGGATTGAAAGCCCAGAGTGTGGCAAGCCAAGTTGCAATATTCCTGGAGAAGTTAAAAGGATGGTGGGGAAGAAAGGATAGAAAAATCTCAGAGTTAGACACAGAGCCTTGAGGAGGCAGTGGACATTCTCGCTTTAATGAGTGACTTGAGCTCAGTGTCAGGAGAGGATGGGCTGACACGGTGTCCATCAGGCTTATCAGAAAGCTGCATTCAATTAATGTTTGTCATTTCAGTGAAGATGCATATTTTTCTGAATAAACGATGAGTCACTGGCCACATGCTAAACCCCAGTCCGTCTCGGTTACCTTCCCAAGGAGCCGCCCACCGCTGGCATCATGCCCTCCCCAGCCCCACAAAGGAGGGGTCACCAGCCAGCGTTCTCTCTGGAACAGCTTCCCTCTGCTCTGCTCAGCTAAATGATGCTCACCCTTCCAGTTCCAGAGAGGCTCCCCTTTTCCAGAAGTGCCTCTGCTGTAGCGTCCATAAGCCCCTGTAAACACTTGAACTCGGAATGTCCGCTGTGCTGTACGCCTCACCCTGATTCCAGCCCGGCCCATCCTGGAAGCCTTGAACACAGGCTCAAGTCTCCACCTCCAAGGCAGAGCCTCTGTAACGGCTCAGAGACCCCTGTGCCCTTCACAGCCTACAGTCTGAGAGCGAATGGTACTAATACTCGGCTGAGGACGTGGTCGTGGGGCGGGGGCAACACCAGAAGATGCTTCCCCTGGAGCCTCCAGGACAGCGACCCCGCCCCCCGACTTTCCTGTCCCTGGAGAAGAGCCTAGAGGGAGCCTCCATCTGCAGGAGACCTCACACGGGCAGAGGTAAAGTGACAACGGCCCGTCTCTGCTCTTCTGAGTTGCCTCCAGAACAATCGTGAGTGCAGGTGTCAACACAGGCCGAGCAAAGAGGAAAGAGACACCTCACCGCAAAGTGCCAGACCTTGCGAAGACCTCCCGGGAGGACCCAGGGGAGCAGGTATGGGCGCCGGGGGTGAGGGTGTCGAGCAGGGAGAGGGCATGAGGCTACACGGGGGGCGTCTGTTGATAGGGGAGCTTTCTCTTTGGGTCCACGTTCACTATCTGGCAGGGATGACTGGAGCCCACCCTGTGGAGCCGGTGGAATGGCCGCTTGAAAGAGGGCCTCGTGACGGCCTCCTGGGAATGGGATGAGATGCCGGAACCTCCTTGGTGAGGTCCTGAGGGGGGGTGGAGGAGGCTCCAGGAGGAGGGCGTGTTCAAGTGGCCTCGTCACCCGAGACCAGAGAACCCCTCGCCGGATGCGTCCCCTAAGAGGGCACAGGGACACTCCCTTCTCCTAAGAAATGCTCTAGGGAGAGGAGAGCAGCACTCAAGAAGCTCAGGGTCCTCATAAACGGGGGCTGACACTAGAAGATTCTACCAGGAGAGGGCGTCACCTCGAGTCAGTGGGGACCACGGGAACCCTGCTGAGAGAGTCCCTGAGACAACGTACCATCCTCAGTGGCCAAGGTGGACATAACTGGTGTCAAGGCCAGAGCAGCAAACAGGGCCCCTTGATCTGCGAGAATCTATGGGAAGAGCAAATAGACCCTACTGGGGTTTTTTTAATCAATACATATGTATTTTTAAATTTTTATAGATTATTCTCCATTTAAAGTTATTATAAAATATCACTTATATTCCCTGTGCCGCACATCACGTCTTTGTATCTCATTTACTTTACACCTAGTAGTCTGTACCTCTTAATCCCCTTCCTTTATCTTGTCCGACCCTAACCCCTCTCCCCTCTGGTAACCACTAGTTTGTTCTCCGTATCTATGAGTCTGTTTCTGTTTTGTTACATTCATTCATTTGTTTTAGTTTTTAGATTTCACATACAAGTAAAAGTGTATAGTGTTTGTCTTTCTCTGTCTGACTTACACAGATATGGAAGCAACCTAAGTGTCCATCACCAGATGGCTGGATAAAGAAGATGTGGTATATATAAGATAGAATATTACTCAGCCATTTAAAAAAATGAAATTTTGAGTGGATGGCAGCCTGATGGCAGGAGGGGAGCTGTTCATTGGCCCAATCGCATGGCCTCCACCCACTACGGCTGTTCCAGGGACCCAGCTGCCAGCACAGAGACTTTGGGCAGAGCAGGCAGCCTGGTAATTAACCCACAACTAGGTTAATGTGCTGTATGTTTCCACCCTGGAGGGAGTAGCCATGCATCCTTACAACACTGACTCCAGATCTTGGTTTCCTTTCCCTGCATGCTGTTCTGCTGTCAGCACCATTATTTGAAGGCTTACAGGTGCCCCTTTATCCATATAACATCACCTCAGACTAAGGGGTCCAGCTTATAGGGAAGGAGGTGTGGCAGGAGCCTCATAGAGCATCACTCCTTAGCGTCAGCTGGACCAGTCTCCCCACTTCCATGCATCTTCTACACCACCGCCAGTTTTTTTTCCTATATAAAAATCTGGTGCTTTCCCTCCCCAGCCTAAAACCCTTTGGTAGTTTCCCAAAGGCTTCAGGATGCAGATCAAGCGCCTCAGTATGTCGCAAAGGCCTTTTATAACCAGCACCACACTCCTCCCCAGCCTCGTCTCCTGATGCAACCACCACCTTCACAGAAAGTCGCACCGAACCCGCCCTGTTTGCTGAAAGGCATCCGCCCTCTCAGGCCATGTCATTTGCTTTTCCTGCTCGCTCTTTGGAATTTCCGTGCTTTAACTCTCTTTCTAAAACCCCCACCAACCGCAACTCCCTTGAGACCTGTATACAATCAATGGCTTAACGAGCTACCATACATTTAGCAGCCTAAAGAGCACACAGGTATAAACTCTCAGTTTCTGTGAACAGGAGTCCAGGCATGGACACTCAGCTGTGTCCTCTGGTTCAGGGTCTCCCAGGCTGCAGTCAAGGTGTCAGCCAGGGCTGTGGTCTCATCTCCCGGCTCCACTGGGGAAGGGTCTGTTTCCAAGCTCCTGGGCTTGTCGGCAGAATCCAGCCCCCGGCAGAATGTTGGATGCGAGCCTCACTTTCTTGCTGGTTAGCCGCTAGAAGCCGCCCTCAGCTCCTGGCCGCAAGAGCCTGTCCACAGGGTAACCCCCAGCACGGCAGCTTGCTTCATCAGAGCCAGCAAGGGACAGGCTGGCAAGACTCAAGTCAAAGTCCTGTGTAACATGACCGTGGAAGTGACGGCCCATCATTCTGTGTATCCCGTTGGTTGAAGGCAAGTCACAGGTCCTGCCCACACTCAAGAGGAGTGGCTACCCAGGGGCGTGAACACCAGGAACCCACCAGCCACGGGACCTAACCCTGCCATCACTGGGGTCTCCACTCTGCTCTGCTTCCCCAGCACCCGGGTCTCAGACACAGGCCTGACCGCTGTCTCCTACAGCACACGTGTGATAAAAATCCTCAGGCACGGCATTCTCCCGCCACAGCAGAGCCCATAGACTATTCGCGTTAGCATCCCCGGGGGCCTACCACAATGCTCCACACCCAGGAGCACAAGGCTACAAGCACCCCCCTCCTGGTCCAGTCACGGCTTCCCCTGTCCAGAGAAGGAAGAGAGGGGAGGTTTCCAAAGTTGAATTTCTATCAGTTTACTCTCTTTACAGCTTTCTGCTTCTCCTAAGGAAAATATCTGTAGATTTGCCAATCCTATCAAATAGTTTTTTATTTATAACGAAAATCAAAGTTTAGGTTTTATCAGCACCTAACATCAGCCTAAAGGAACTCACATACCAAAACAATTTTAGCCATTGTCTCCACTGAAATTTTTAGCCAAGAGAAGGGAGATGCACTGAATTGATGTGTGCCACACTTCAAATCCTCATAATATCCCTGGTACAATAAGCACTGTTACCTCCATCTCACAAGCCAGGAAACTGAAGTTCAGTTTAAGTGATCTGCTCCTGGTGGAATCAGAATCATATTTGGTCTGGATTTCTCCGTCTTTCCACACCTCCTGCTCAGAGCCTGGCGGAGGGTCAAGGTCAGAGAGAACTTCCGGCAGCAGAGGGGAGCCCCCAGGGGGTCCTGATTCCACCTCCAAGCGAACATGTAGAAATCCAGCTTTGGGCTCCAGAAACTTCTCCCTGGGAGCAGCAGCTGTCCTGTCTTGTGGCGTGTGGTGACCTGGGACAAAGAGGCTCAGAGCAGAAGTGGGGATGGGCTGGCTGGAGAACTTTCGCTGACCAAACTCTCATCCAAAAATAAATGTTTTTAATCCATTTCAAATGGTGCATTCGGTTGCCTCAAAGGCAGTCCCTTCCCTCAGAAATGCCTGATTACACGCACAATCCTGGAAACTACTGATTTCCTCTACTCTGAATTCTCGCAGGGAATCTGGCAACCCCAAATCTAACACTAGGCTCGGATTCACCCGACACCCCCGGGAGGCGCCCACCTCGTCTCCCCCCAGGGCTGGGCGGGGGTGGGTGTGAGGACAGAAGAAGGGAAGCAGGCCTCCAGCAGGAATCCATCTGACTTACCTTCAGTCCCGACGCCTTATCTGGTAGACAGTGGTTCAGCATCTTCGGAGGAAAGTCTTCTCTTACGTAAAATGCCTTCAGACACGTCACTACTTCATCTAGGAGTCATTCCTTTCGGATACGTTTACTGAGCCGGCTGTGCCCTGGGGCTTCCCCTGAGCACTGGCTCACCTTCAGGTTCCTGCTGAAGGACCCTCATGAGACGGCGGGGAGCTCTAGAAAATGCTGCAAAGACCCCACACAAACTTTAGGACCCCGATTCTCCACTGAGCTCCCCGGCACCTGTGAACTGAGGTGGCTGAGGGAGACGAGACAGTCCCGGGTTTGCTTCCGCTCCCGAGACCAGGTAAACTGAGTAACCTCTGCAAACCTTTTCAATCCATTGCACCATTTAAAAATAAGACTGTTTATGACTTGTTGGAGGTTAACTCCCTCCGGGCAGTTAGGACTTGGAAAAAACAAGCATAATACCCACTTCCAGGCTGGAAGAAATAAACAAGTTTGCCCTTTCTTCAGAAATGCTGTGTCATTCCAAATAATTGGAATTGCTTTTTCTCAAGAATTAGTAAAATGTGTTTGTATGAATTCAAAGAAAGGGGCCCAGTCGAACAGACTCCAGACTCCTAACCCTCCGGAGATCAGGAGATGCCAGCCCTGGGCATCACCCACACAAGAGGGGGCTTAAGGATGGGGCAGAGGGGGTGCCAGAAGTTTCTAGCACGTGGTGGACACTCACTGGTGTACATCCCCAAGGGACTCGGCACCAGTGACATGCACACATCACCGATTTGCTCTAGAGGGAGAATCCTAGTGTCACAGAGAGAACCTCAGGCCCCCTCCAAGGAGCTGGGAGGGGACCTCCACCTTGAACCCCCAAACCCCCAGCTGCAGCTCTGGAAACATTCACAGTAAAAGACAAGGCCCCCGAGACTGAACCCCTCAAGGCCTGGGAGCCCCCAAGTGTCCCGGACAGTGAGGCACGAGGACTCTCAGGCTCCTGCTGGCCCCCAGCGACACAGAGCCAGTCCACAGCCCAGGACCCACCCACACCAGCTGGGCCACGACGGGAGCCTCAGGGTCAGCCGGGGAAGCAGCAGGAGAGAGTCCCAATGTCCAAGCAAGAAGCCCCTCAGGCCACTGACCGCGAAGACGAGACAATTGCAGTGACCCTGCTCGGGCTCAGATGGCACCAGGGAACCAGGCGTCCGCACTTTGTCCCTTACCAGCTACAGACATTGGGGAGGTTATGTAGCTGTGTGCCTCCGCGTCCCCATCCATGAAACGGGAATCTTAACATTCCTATCTCACTGGGTCGCTGTCCGTTAAATACTGTGATACGTGGAAGGTGGTTGGAACAGAGTCTGGGACATAGAAGATGCTCAAGGCGGGTTAGCTGAAGCTTGGTGGGCCTGTCAGGGGGACAGCCAGGAAGGAGGGGGCTCTGAGCACCACTGAGAAGAAGTGGGAACAGTTTGTCGTGGGCTGCTGTGATTTTATCTTACCCCGTTCCCGGAAGAGTCAGCCATCAGGAAAATGCCCCAGATGCTCCTGAGGGGGTTAAAAATTGGTCTGAGCCATTAATTCTAGAGTTCCAGATAAAGACACAGAACGTACATCCACGCAGGCTCAGCGCCCAAAGCAGCCTTAGATGTCAGGGAATCTGTCCATGGTCCCAAAGTTCCCTGACCATCCAGCAGTTTCCTCGCCTGGTGTCAAGTCCGGGTATCCACTGAGCAAAAGGTTTATTTTGCTTACGCAGCGCAGAGAGCATTCAACACGTATTTATTAATCAAATAAATGAACCAGTGGCATCTGGTGCGTTTGCTATAGGTATTTGGAGGGAATGAAATTTGGGGGGATAGAAAGAACTTGTCATCAATTTGGAAAATAAAATTAAAACACAACATACAACCAGGGAATCTATGTGAGAAGACACCTGAGGCTCATACCTTTCTCCAAGGAGGCCTGTTTCCTATTCTACACCCCAGACCCTGCGGAACCGGTCCTGCCCCAGGCCGCGAAGCCAGGCTGTTTGACACTTGATTCTCTCCACTGTCAGTAGCAACGGTCGGGTTCAGAGACAAGAAGTGACACTTGCTGTGACAAGAAGTCCGGTGAGACGGCCATGTGCCTGCTTGCCAATTTCTGGATTTAACGTGCACTCACCTGGCATCGTAACTGTTCCAGAACTTGCTGAGAATACTCACCATCTCTAAAACTAGCATGATCACGGCATGGTCTTCTCCCACGTTCTCTGTATTTGCCAGCAGGCTTTAAAGTAAGAGTGGATTGAAATTAAACGTGCTCCTAACAGGAAGGGGGAGACCAGGGCAAGACAGTACTGAAGATACTGACTGCTAACTATAAGCCAAAAAGACCACATTTCCCTTGTTTCCTTTTCTTTTTGTCATTGAATGTGACATACATGCCGACAAGCACACAGCCGAATCACAGTTTACAGAATAATTGTGAAGCAAACCCTCTGATCCTTTATTCACCACGTGAGGGATTCCCTCCGAGCCCTCCCCTTGTGATTCCCTTGCTCCATCTACATTTTTCTCACCCGTCTGGACTTTGTGGAATACTATTTATTGACTTCTGAACGTTGCGTTGTTGAGCTGTAGGTCTTGTGTCTTTTTCTTTCCTTTTTTCAGGGAATATATTTGTGTGCAGTTGTGGGCAACAATGCAGAAGAACCCTTCATCCCCCTTATCGTTTCCTCAGTAGTAACATTTTATAAGACTACAGCACAGTATCACAACCAGTATCTTGACACTGATAGACTCCACAGCCTTATTCAGATCTCCCCAGTTTTATCTGCTTGCTGTGTGTGTATCAAGTCCCATACAACTGTATCGTCGAGGTCAGTTTGTGTTTCCACTACCATAGTCAAGATGCCAAATGGTTCCAACTTTGCAAGCATCCCTCACATTATCCTTTCTAGCCATCCACAATCCCTTCCTGCGGCAACCACGAATCTGGTTTCCATTTCTAAAATTCTGCCATTTCAAACATGTTCCATATGTAACCTTCGGAGATCGGAATTTTTGCTCACCGTAATTCCCTGGAGGTTCCTCCAGGTTGCTGAGTGCATCGGTACTTTGCTCCTTTTCCTCGTCGGGGTAGTATTCCGCGGGGTGGCTGTACCACAGTGCATTTATCCAATCACCTGTTGAAGGACACCCAGGCAGAGTTCCAGTTTGGGCCCCTACAAATAAAGCTGCTATAAACATTTATGTACAGGCTTTGGTGTAAAATTAAGTTTTCATGTCTTTGCCAAAAAAGCCCAGGGGTGCAATTGCTGGGTCGGGTGGTAGCTGCATGCTTAGTTTGTTACGAAGCTGCCGAAGTATTTTCCAGGGGGGCCCCACCATTTCACACTCCCACCAGCAGTATGCGAGTGATCCAGTTTCTCCTGCTATTGATTTTTTATTATCCGGATTCCCACTTTAGCTGACTGACAGAGGTCATTACAAGACGCCTCCAAACCATGTTACACACCTTGAAAACTCGCCTAAGTGGTTAGAAGGCTGCCTCTAAAGAAGTTAAACCATGTAAAGAACACGGTACATTCTTGCTCCTGCCTTGCCCAGTGCAAACACCCTCTGTCTGTCTCCCCTCCACCCCACACAAACCTTCAACCACTGCCTCCTACAGGAAGCTGCCCAAGACCCCCCCGCCCAGGTGGCTGCCTCACCTGTGCCCACACGTATCCTCCCACAGTTTCGCCATCCCCATTGCAGTCACTGGGTTCACTGTCTTCCTTGCGAGGCTCTCAATTCTCTGAGGCAGGAACTGGGATGTCTCATCTGCCATCCCATCCTCAGTATCTAACGTGCTGCCTGCACACAGTAGGTGCTCAGTTAAATACATGAGATTGAATGGGCAGTGCCAGTCTCAAAAGCCCATTCAATACAGTACTCCAGGCAGCCTTTACCAACCAATTAAAGTTAACGCAGGAGTTGAAATCTCTTCACCACCCGGCAATCAGTAAGCCCAAGTCGACGAGAAGACAACACTCACTGTGGCTGACATGAATTCATGTCTTTTAAGCATTTCCGAATAGTATACATGCTGATGAATTAATGTCTTCTAGAAGAGCAAGTGGCTTGTCTACCTCATTTCGCTTGCCATGAGGAAATCAACTCTTCATTACACTTACAGAAGCAGAGGCAATGTAAATATAGTCACATGTTCACCTGCGATGTTTAAACACCAGACACAGGCTCTAACTAATAACCTGGTTCAACTGCTTAATAATCGTCCCGGACATTACTGATTTCTCATACAATTACTGCCTGGACTTTCAAATCCCATTTTATGTTATTAAGTTCTTTTTAATGTTAGGAGACATTTTTATATTTCCAAAGAAAAAATTCAACATCACCACATATTCAATATCACTGCGTATGTACATATGGAGAAATGTATACTTAAAAATGGTAAATTTTACATTATTTGCCACAAGGGGAAGAAAAGAAGCTGGGCAGGAGAGCAGAGCATAATTGATCAGCATCCGTTCAGTCTGCCTTGTTACCCAAACCAGGATCCATTCATGTGAAAACTTTGAGCCGCTGTGTCTTCATACATAAAATGTTAATCACAGTGCCAGACTCACAGCTCTTTGAAAGGAGAGAAAGGAGATGCATATAACTGGATGCACAATCTGATTTTTGCCCAGGGACTTGGACCTCTGATTAATCTGAGTGGCTAAACCCCAGGCCAGGAATTCATCGGAGGCAAGCTCATCCCAGGATGCCGTAACCCCTTCCAAGGAGGCCTGTGTCCTCCGACTCACCACCCGTCCCGGAAGATTTCAGATCCCTGTGAAAGTAAGATGAGTTAGTAAATGAAAAGCTCTTAGAAAAATGACAGGAAAGGGCTTCCCTGGTGGCACAGTGGTTAAGAATCCACCTGCCAATGCAGGGGACACAGGTTGGAGCCCCAGTCCAGGAAGTTCCCACATGCCACGGAGCGACTAAGCTCGTGCACCACAACGACTGAGCCTGCGCTCTAGAGCCCACGAGCCGCAACTACTGAGCCTGCGCTCTAGAGCCCACGAGCCACAACTACTGAGCCTGCGCTCTAGAGCCCGCGAGCCACAACTACTGAAGCCCGTGCGCCTAGAGCCCATGCTTCGCAACAAGAGAAGCCACTGCAATGAGAAGCCCGCGCACCGCAAGGAAGAGTAGCCCCCACTCACCGCAACTAGAGAAAGCCCACGCACAGCAACAAAGACTCAACGCAGCCAAAACTAAATAAAATAATTTATTTTTAAAACATGACTGGAAAATAGTAAGCATGTGTAGTAGTCTCAAAGAAAAACAGAAACTATAGGATGTATTTATATATAAAGGTTTACATATAGAGAGAGCTGAGTGTGTGTGAAGAGAGAGGGACAGAGAGGGACAGCAAGAGAGGCTTTAAGGAATTGACTCAGGAGAGCACAAGATCTACGTCTGAAATCTATAAGGCAGGCCAGCTGGCTGGAGATGCAGGAAAGTGACGATGCTGCAGCTCAGCCCAAAGGCCATTCGCTGGCAGAATTCCCTCTTCCTCAGGGCCTCTGCCTTTGCTCTTCAGGCCTTCAGCTGACAGAATGATGCCCGCCCTCATGATGAAGGGTCATCCGTTTTACACAAAAGCTACTGATTTAAATGTCAGTCTCATCAAAAATAAGTTCGCGTGACATCTAGACCGATGTTTGACCAAGAACTGGGAACCACAGCCTGGCTAAGTAAACGTAAAGTTAACCATCACTGCGTGGTGCACAGGTATGCAGCCGCTGTGATCCCTGGCGGCATCCGCTGGCCTAGGGTTTGCCGCAGGTCTCGGAAATCCTGAATCTTCTGCTCTTAACTCAGCCTTCCCCCCTTTTCTCCAAGACCTTACCATTGAGCCCCTCCCTGCTCCATGGCAAGTAAACTGCAGCAGATCTCTCCTCCGGATTCTCCCATCCACCCCTTGTCTCTGCTGGACCCAGCCATCCTGAGCTTCACAGCAGCTGAGAAGCCCTCGAATCACTCCTAATTGGGCTCCCTGGCCCCGTAAACCTCAGGGGCAGGCGCAACTCTGGGTCCCTCTGGCCCCACCCGTCTCCCGGTCCCAGTTCCCCGCACTCAAGTGAAAAGTCCCGTTTCTTTTAGGTTCATGCCCTTCGGCGATACCACTACTTGTTCCACCCCAAAGACCGAGACACCCTACCCCACCCATCATCCTGCTGATGTGCACGTGTGTGTGAGGCCGGCCACCCCACAAGCCGCCCCTCAGAACACCAGCCTCCTACTTCCCGCGCCCTTTGCCCTTCCTCCCCTTCACCTTCACGCCCGTGAAGGGGCCTGAGGATTGTCACTGCTTGAAGCCGTAAGTTGGACCATGCCTGGCTCTGTGTGGGCTTCTCCTGCACTGGTATTCCTCCCATTATCTCCTGCCCACCCACTTGATTGCCTCACTGCAAGCTCCAGGCTGCTGACCCCTTCCCTTGACTTAATCCAGTCTCTGAATGCGCTCCCAGCCTGCTTCCTTCTTATCCCTCTGTGTCCGTATTTCAGCCACTCTGCTGTGCGCCCCCCACTGCTTCCATCCCTCGCCACGTCTCAGCAAAAGCACAGCTGCCCCCTGCGTCCACCTGCCAGGACAGCACCGCCCTCCCGCCCCGTCTGGACCCGAAACACGGCCTGGCACGGCGGTGGTGATTTCCCTGTTTTCATAGTAACTGGTTGAAACGCTGTCCTCTGGCTTGGCTATCCACTCGGAGGTTCCTCGTTGACATACTATGTTTCAGCCCTGTTGTTCTCATTCTTCTGAGTTTGACTTATCTGGTTATCAGCGTTTACTGTTTCTTGATGTCTTCTGTGTCCAATAGAAGCAAGCTAAATTCTGTCTAGGTCAATTATCAATCCTATGTGAGACAGGACACACGTCAGCCAAGCTCAGGGTCGACAAGTTTTCATTTTAATATGTGATTATGTTACCACGTAGAGCTAGACAGCTAGCACTTTCTCTGGGTGACTCCACATGAGAAAAATGAAGTCCACTGCAGAAACTGGGAGGAAGAGGGAGCAAAATTTATCGCAGAGTTACATGAAATGCAAAGCGCCGCGCCGTTCCGAGCATTACAATTATTCTCCTGCTATCGTCTCCCGTTGTCCTCTCTGTGGCCTCTGAAGAAATAATTAACCTTGTGAACTCTGATAAAGTCACAAAAGGTGGAAAAGCTCACAGTCAGAATATCAGGGCCACGTGAGCACTTGAAGGCAAGTAGCTAAATGACTATTGTGACTAGAGCAAAATCAAGAGAAAATGTATCTGCAGGAAGAGAGAATGACCTTGGATGCTTCAAGGGCATTGAAAGCGTCTAGCTTATCGATTTTAAAAGAGCCTCTCTCTCTCCCTCCCTCCCTCGGGATTTTTCAGTCAGAAATCACATCTGCTTCGTGCAGAAGCCAGTACCACATAAACTGCTACATGCTGGAATTTCCTCTCCACTGCTTCTGTTGAAATGCAAAACTTACTCTCAATGTAGGAGGTGGTCTGTCCTGCATCAAGAGGTTGCGTATAACCCTCGAGTGTGCCTCGAATGGGAGACCAGACTCCTGCTTTTACACTTCAATCATCAATCACTCCCAGCGGCCTGGGCTGTCTGCCCCATGACCGCACAGACCCCCTGTGTGTGGCTCCCTCGGCTACACCTCTGTCAGCTCACACATCTGTCTTTATCTATGCGTTCTTCCCCAAGACACCAGGATGCCTCTGAAATGCCTTCCTTGCCCAATACCCAAAGAGACACCCGTAGAAGCAAATGCAATACATCACAATTTACAGGCTCACTTTTGTATGACCTCCCGAATCAGTTGGAAATTACAGAAATAAACTTTGACTAATTCAGCAGGAATTTACTAAATGATATTGAGTTGCTCAAAGTAACTCTTGGGGGCTGGAGAACCAGTGGCTGAGGTTACACAGCTAAATAGTTCAAAATTAGGCCACCAACTGTCCCTGTGGACACCTCCCCACGGCCACTGCCTGCCCAGCTGCCATCTGCACAACAGGCTCGCGACCCTCTGCTGGGAACCTGCCACAGCTATCCTTGGGAGTGGGCACTGCCCATGCTGCTGTCCTCACCAGGAAGACATCCTGTTGACCCTGCTTCTTTGGGACACCAAATTCTGAAACAAATAGTGGTCCACGTGCTTGTGATGGAGAGAGCTGAAGTCATCGTGATGCTTAATTTTGTTTGTCAACCTGGCCCAGGCAACAGTGCCACGTGGTTTGGGCAAACATCAATCTAGTTGTTGCTTTGAAGGTATTTTTAGATGTGATTAACTTTATTTTTTAAGATTTTTTTTTTATGTGGACCTTTTTTAAAGTCTTTATTGAATTTGTTACAATATTGCTTCTGTTTTATGTTTTGGTTTTTTGGCCACGAGGCAGGTGGGATCTTAGCTCCCCGACCAGGGATCGAACCCACGCCCCCTGCATTGGAAGGCGAAGTCTTAACCACTGGACCGCCAGGGAAGTCCCTAGATATGATTAACATTTACATCAGTAGATATTGAGCGAAGAAGATTAACCTCCATAATGGTGGGCCTCACCCAATCAGTTGAAGGTCTTCAACGAAAAGACAGCGGTTCCCTAAGGAAGAGGGAATTCTGTCTCCAGACTGCAACAGAGAAATCCTGCTGAAGTTTGTAGCCTTTGGGCTCCAGACTGTAACACCAACTCTTACCTGAATCTCTAGCCGGTCTGTGACTTTTGAGCTTGCCAACCTCTGCAATCACAGAGCCAATTCCTTAAAATAATGGTTCCCACCACCTCCCTCTCACTTCCTCTCACTCTCCGTCCCTCTCTCTCTCTCTCTCTCTCTCCTCCCTGTGTGTACACACATGTATGTATATATGTATTCTCCCACCAAGATTCTAGAAGAATGTGCTAAGCAGCCAGAGAAAATAGCCAATTACACTTTTATTCTCATATAAATTTTATATGCAAGAAAAAATAACTAAGGCTCTTCCACCTTGAAAAGTTTGCAGCTGTAACTATTAACAAAGTTTCCTGAGTATCCAAAAATGGAGAGCTGTCATCTTTCTTGAAGCATGGATTTAAATTGCCACAAGGCTGCAGGATTCATTCAGCGGCGGGGGAGCATGGACCTGGCAGATGAGGGCACCTCAGTGTTGTCCCATTGTTCTTTGCAAGTCACCAGATTTAGTAACTCTTGTGAAGGGAGATTTGATTTCCTTGTGAAATAGCCTCCAAAAGAAAGTCAACTTTTAGGTTGTTGATGAAAAAGATGAGGTCCAGTAGTGAGATGATTCATAGTTTAGAGCCAGAAAGTGGAGGATTTAGGTTATTTTTAAAAAAAAACCTTTTATTTTTCAAAATATCACTACTATCCAAGTTAACTTCAACGTTCACTATTTAAGCTTTAATCCCAAGCCATATGTAGTTTATGCAACACTTCTTGGCATATGCAAAAGATACATTCCACACTGCTAGTGGATACTGACACTCTGCCGTCAAAGATGTCCACCATTATAGGTGTATCCCTACTACTTATATATGGCTGTGCTTCAAAGATGTCCACCATTATAGGTGTATCCCTACTACTTATATATGGCTGTGCTTCACTACGTGGATGGGTAGGTAGGTAGACGGATAAACAGGTAGATAACCCTCCAAAATGTGCTACTTTTAAAACGCCAGTCATTTATGGATCCAGGCTGGAAGCTGAAATCTATCCCTGGGGAGACTTTATCTCTGTCCTGGGAGGGACCGTTTTTATAAGCAGTTTTGCTCACACAGGTATGGGCTGGTCTTGAACGTTGGTGAAGTAATCCAAATGCAGATGCTTCCAACCGTGTTCATTTTATTACGATTAAATATGGAAAAAATTACCTCTGTGGTGGTGGACTGCATCTCTGGAGGGATGGCTATGAGGTGAGAGATTTTGGGTTTCCACTGACAGGCCTGTAATCAGGGAGTCTGGGGTCCTGGTGGTCTGTGGGGAGATGGCATGGTTAGGAGACTTGTCACCCACCCCTGCCACCCCCGAGGAGGCGTTCGAGGGAAGGGGGAGTCGGTGGGGAAGGGTTGTGAGGTATAAACCATCTCCTGTTCCAGGTTATAACTGAGCTCTGTCACCTCCCAGCCTTCGCACCAGCCTTACACTCCCCTGCTCTGTTTTGTGGACTAAGGGGATGCGACCAGTTCAGCATTTGGGGCGTGGATAAAACAGATTGAGGGATTCACAGAGACAGCGACATCACGCGTGGCCAGAGATGGAAGGCAAACAGCTAGAAGTCACTTGCAGTAAAAGGGAATAAGTAACAACCAGGAGAAAACATAACCATAACCCAGAACCTTCAGAGACACACTTTAGGACTTCAGGACGGAACTTGCTGCAGTCATGTTAGATAAGGCTCAATTATTTTGTTTAGATATTAAAGAGGAAGGTCACTCCCAAGGGCTGAAGAGTTCAAGGAGAGAGATACCGAGATACGTATAAAGCACACGTTTTTAGGGAGAGGGCTAATAAAGGTAATAATTAAAATGTGATAACCAAATCTGAGAATAAAAGCAATAAGTCTAAACATATTTGCCGATGTGTGAATGGGAAATAAGATTTTTAGAACTGGATTTTCTCTAAAGCAATAATACTACACCAGAATTGACTACAATGACAAATTCTCATAAGTTACTGGTTTATTAAAGTATAATGTATATCCCTGAGGAACTCTACAATGGGATTACGGCTAAAATCCCCATTTAGCCCTCATTTCATTTGGCATTAATGACTACAGCCATGAGATATATACTTTATAACATGAAAAAATTATGATTGGTCATTCTGGGTTGGTTTATTAATGTGTCAAGACACTATGTGCAAATAAGAAATTGATGGACTCTGTCTTATCTCCTCCCAACCCCAAATCACTCAAGGGCTTTGCCGTGGAGAGGATGATTTAAATAATGGGCAGCTCACCCAATGTCCTTTTAAATTGGGAGGTTCTGGGTGTGAAAGTACAGAAAAGGGAGAGAAAAAGAGAAATGATTAGAAACAAACCCTGCATTTCAGAGGGCATACCTTGCATACCTGAGTAAATAGGCATGTCCCTCACACTGTTACCGTGCAATCACTTGGAACACTCCGTACGGCTTCTAGAAGAGTGATAAATCTTCATGTGGGAAGGTCTTTGAAACAGGACATGACAGGTATTGGAGGATGAATGATCCCAGATTTAATGTAAGAGACAGCTTCACTCTTTTTCTCATTTGCTGACGGGTCCCCCTTCACATCATATCCACGTTTCCTGCTCTCCTGGTCTCCCCAGATCCACGTCTGCCCTGTTTAAGACAAATGTGGTCAAGGCCCAAGCCCTTGTTTAAAACAGTCCTCCCTTGGATCACCAAGTCCTCTTCCAAGAAATCAGTATTCCCTAACAGTCACTTTCTGGATGCGGCAGCTATGCTGAGAGACAGGAGAAGAGGGGCCCTAGACCACGCGGTGTCCCAGAAGCATCCAGACAGGCCTCCATCAGCCACCTCCTGATCGGCCTGAGACATGTGCAATGATCATGCACAAGCACAGATAATGATCTCACCTGGGCTCCCACACTTGCTGAGAGTCCCCAGCAGGACAAGAAGCACCAGCTGTAACCACGAGGGTGAAAGCCGTGTCTTCAGTCTGAGAGGGTTTACTGTAGTTTTGACGTGGTTCCTTTAACTCTTAGACACCGAAAAACCAAGAGAGCTCCATATCCCCTATAGCGTCAACTTCATGAGTACACTTTGAGCTTCTTAAACCTATGACTCCATTAATGAATGTAAGCGTTTTACACACACTTCCTCTCCCTGGCCCTTTTCTTAAGGAATCGCTGTATATAATTGAAATAATATCCTGAAAACCGAAAGACGAGCTAAAAGCCTCCAAACATCTGATCTACCACCGACTACAGGTAGTGAGCCTTCTGCACAGGAACTGTGAAGACAACTGCTTGCAGAGGAAGGGCAAACAGGGTCATGTTTTAAATGCACATCTTGTCCCTACTGTGACTGAGCTCAGCACAGCAGACAAAAATGAAGTCCAAATGCCAGGTTATATTGGCAAGAATCTTATGAGCAGCCTCTTCTGTTCTTGGTTATATGGTTCCCAAATTTACTTATGACTTGTAGATTTTAATTTCTCTTTTTGCCCATCTCAAGATAAGTCCTAGGCAGAAAAAAAGAAAAAAAAAAAAAGCAGGGACATTCAAACACAACTCCAAAGAAGTCTCAATGAACCTCACCAGATGGCAAACAGAAGAGCACGTAAAGTATAACTGAGCAGTTTTTGAACTGGGTTGAAGCCACAACTCTATTTCTGATTTTGTATGAATAAACTCCACCAAAGGAAACATTTACACTTTATCTATGTTGAGCAAGTGCACATTGGTAAAGTTAGACAGAGGGCAAAAAAAATTAGATAAATTTTGAATAATTGAGAGGCTTTAACCTTAGAAAGAGCCCTCACTGGCTTATAATCTGAAAATGTGTAACTGATTTTTCATACAGGAATGGCCTTCCTTGAGCAGGCAACTTTGTCAAATGTCTCAGTAAGCTAAGAAAAACTGGAAAAGCAAACAGGGGAATTTTTAATCCATTTTAATGGGTGTGTTTCAAAACCTAATAAGTAATTAGATGGTGCTGTTTTCTAGAGGAGTGCCTTCCAGTAGAAATATAATGCTAGTAGAAACATATGTAACTTTAAATTTTCTAGAAGCCACATTTTATTTTTTTACAGACATTTTTTGATGTGGACCATTTTCAAAGTCTTTATTGAATTTATTACAATATTGCTTCTGTTTTATGTTTTGGTTTTTTGGCCGCGAGGCATGTGGGATCTTAGCTCCCCGACCAGGGATCAAACCCGCACCCACTGCATTGGAAGGCGAAGTCTTAACCACTGGACCGCCAGGGAAGTCCTTAGAAGCCACATTTTAAAAAGTAAAAAGAAATAGACAAAATTATTTTAATAGTATTTTAATTAATCCAATGTAATCAAATATTATAATTTCAATATATAATTGATATACAAATTATGCAATATTATGATATTTTGCTTTTTTTCATACTAAGTCTTTGAAATTGGTACATATCTTACACTTAAGGCACATCTCAATTCAGACCAGCCACAGTTCCAGTACTTAGGAGCCACGTGGGTCAACGGCTAACCCACCAGACGACACCGATCTGGCTGATTACAACATTGCGGAAAATAACATAGACTCCACACGTGCTCCATTTTTAGATACAGCTGCTAACTGCCTTAGTTACACAGAGATATGTTGCTTTTGTTTTTGTTTTTCTTGCTTTTGCTTGAAACAAACAAATTAGGATTCCTGAAATGGCCATTGTGCAAACTGTAATGTGCATTTGCTTTGAGAACATTCAATTCTATCAGAAGAAGAAATTTGCAGTTTGCCAAACACAGCTAAAACTCTTTGAGATGTTTTAAACAGATAAGAAGCTTATAAGCAAAAAGTTTGTTGAACATACACAGAACTATAAGTAGTAAGTAGACCTTGTGCTAAACATTAGTACATGCAAGTTCCAAGATGCACCCATGGGGTATGCACCCATGGGGTACTTTGGTCCTAAATATTCTTAATAAAACAAATATACAAGAGTCACTGGATATTCAGGAAGTACTGAATTCACATGACTACTTACTAGTCATGAGGTCTTCCTCTGGCTGCCCACTGGTGACACCTATTCTGGTCCCAGGTGAGAAGCCCAGAGCACCCCAGTGTTCAGAGAGTGCACCCTATCCTACTGGGTTGGCCCAAAAGTTCGTTCGGGTTTTTCCATAACATCTTATATCACACATAATAAGTGTGTTAATTTGCCCTTCTCTTTCCCTTGCTTCTCACTGTGATTTAAATTGATTGAACAAACCATGTGATTTGAGCACTTTCATTTGGTCTGTGAGCCCCTCTCTTCTGTGACCTCTGGGCCACCCGGCGGGTACTGTCCTTGAGTGATTTCCACACAAACCGTGCTTACCCGGCCAATGCAGGGGGTAGACGTACAGCACCACTTCTTCATGAAGTACAGCTGATAAAATCCCGAGGGCATTAAATAAGTCAGAAAGGTCTACAACAACGTGGAAGCCCATTTACAAATAAATCCCAGCCAACATTCAACTAAGAATTGGTGACAGCCTTAAATAAAAACAAATGTCATAGCCTCATGTCCTCTTATTCCTTCTTCCTAAAGCCCCACCAAGCAGGACGTGTACGGCACAGAGGCTGAGCAACAGGGGGTGGTCCACAGTACTGGCTCACTTTCCCAGCAGCCTCTGTGAAAAGAAAAAGCACTTCTGCGCTTACTCAACACTTCTCACATCAAATGTGTGGGGTTTTTCCTACACCAACCCATTTGCCAACACCAGCTGGGATCTGACAGTTCAGCTCAATTCTGACTCTATCTACCTGGAGATGGCATCAGATCCCACAGGCTAAGGGTTCACTTCCACAAGACTCCCACCCCACTTCAATGCCAGTCTCACACAGTGGGGTCCCCAGCTTACCCACGCTTCTGGCCAACTTGCGTGTAAATCAGGGGTCCCATTACTCTCTCTTTCAAGTTCAATTGTTTGCTAGAACAGCTCACAGAACTCAGGGAAAGGCTTGCTTATATTTACCAGTACATTATATAATAAAGGATATGATGAAGGATGACCCACCACATAAAAAGATACACAGAGGTCCCAAAGGGTTCCGAGCACAGGAGAGTCTGTCCCCGAGGAGTTGGGGTCACCACCCCTCCGGCATGTGGGAGTGTTCACCAACCCCAAAGCTCTCCAACCCTGTACTTCCAGGACTTTTATAGAGACTTCTTTTTTGTTGTGGAAAATATAATTATTTTCATTAAAATGTTATTCATATTAACATGTAACAGGTATATTATAGCTATTTTAAATGAATTAAGATTTTTAAATCTTTCACTGTTGGGACTTCCCTGGTGGTGCAGGGGTTGAGAATCCGCCTGCCAATGCAGGGGACATGGGTTTGAGCCCTGGTCCAGGAAAATCCCACATGCCGCAGGGCAACTAAGCCCGCAAGCCACAACTACTGAGCCTGCATGCCACAACTACTGAAGCCCGCGCGCCTAGAGCCCATGCTCCGCAACAAGAGAAGCCACCGCAATGAGAAGCCCGCGCACCACAACCAAGAGTAGCCCCTGCTCGCCGCAACTAGAGAAAGCCTGCACACAGCAATGAAGACCCAACATGGCCAAAAATAAATAAATAATTTTTTAAAAAAAGTCATTCACTGTTTTTTTTTTTTGTTTTTTTTTTGGCCTCGTCATGTGGCATGAGGGATCTTAGTTCCCCGACCAGGGATCGAACCCGTGCCGTGCCCCCTTGCAGTGCAAGTGCGGAGTCTTAACCACTGGACCGCCAGGGAAGTCCTCACTGCTAATTTTTGATATATTAAACATCAATAGATATAACCCATCCAAACAAAAGCCCTTCCATCGATAGTTTTTAAGAATGTGAAGGGTCCTAGAACAGAAAGTTTGAGAACTGCCACCTCGGAGAAACTACTGCCCTGTGCACCCGAGTTCTGGAAGTAAAGTCTATGGCCACACTGGCTGAAAGGGCAAGAAACCATAGCCAAACCCAAAGACCAATGAGAAAATGTAAGTCTGTGGCCACACTGGCTGAAAGGGCAAGAAACCACAGCCAAACCCAAAGACCAATGAGAAAAGGTAAGCACACTGTGGTTCACTCACCCAGGGCATCCTTATATAGCACAGGCTAAAAAAGAAGGAACGCAGCGGTTATACTCATCAACGTGGATGAACCTTTGGAAAAGACTGACATTTGAAAAATACGTTGCAGGAGAATTCTTACCATGTGACTCTATTTATATAAAATGTAAAAGCGTGGAAAACTGAATATACCGATTAGGGATTCACCTGAAGTAAACCAGGAAGAAAGGCAAGGGATGCTAAACATACTATTCAAGATCCCTGTCACTGCAAAGGTGAGGGAGGGGAGGGGCCATGGGGAGACTCAGGAGTCCTGCAAGGGCCTGGTGATGCACCTTCCTTAGCTGGAGGAGAAGTGGGGGGTGGGGAGTATCCGGGTGGTGTGATTATTATCATTATTGCGATAGTACCTGTATCTTTAAAGTATATGTAAATTTTTTTAAGTATCTAATATTTGAGAAACAAATCTGTTCACAGTTCAACAACAGAAGAGAGAGACAGAGAGGCAGACGCCAGACCCAGGCAGGTGAAGGGGTTCCCTTGGTTCCCAGAACTTCAGCCACACGACTGGAAAGGCAGAGAACGCCTGT